AAGCCCATCAGCATTGCAACCTCGTGTGTTTACATTATCTTTTTCATTAATTTCATAATGAAGGATAATACGCATCATAACAGGCCCAAAATAAGTTCAGGGCCCGTCTTATAAAGAGATGCGATTGATTCAGATCAATTGCATCTCTTTATATTCGATCGCAAGTTGACACTCCCCTCTCTACTTTGTACATAATTATAATTTGCAATTATTTAATCGCAACTGTTTTATAAAACACGTGGCCCAGACCTCAGATTTTTTCACGAGGGAAGAGGGGGTATTTTTCCCACAGCCAATTACCGTCTTATCCACCCATTTCTTTCCAACTTTGTGCATCATAAACACACCCGCAGGGGATTTAATATCTCAGATTAACCCTCCTATATAGCAGTGTTGTAGCAGTAGAAGTAGTAGTAGTAGCAGTAGAAGTAGTAGTAGTAGTAGCAGTAGTAGTAGTAGTAGTAGTAGTAGTAGTAGAAGAAGAAGCAGTAGAAGTATTAGTATAAATAGTAGAAGAAGTAGTAGTATCATCATCATCATCATCATTCAATACAGTTTGTGTAAAAGCAACAATATTATTCCCGTTCTATAATTATGGAGCCATCTCATTGAATGGTATCGTTAGTTGAGAGTGATGTACAAAACCACGCATGGACCTAACACGTTCCGCTTGGTTCATCAAGCAGCGAGATCGAAATTACTGAGCAATTAATCTTGATTAGAATTGAAATAGGACATGTGTTTATCATTGGTGAATAGGGAAAGAAAGTTAATTGGTCGTAAACCGGATAGCATGTTTAAAAGACAGAATCACATTAAAAATGTATAATTTCTTTCCGCCTTCTTCATCATCACATCAGTGATGGCTAAGTGAGTGGTATTTTGTAGTAGTTTGATTCGTCTGTATATCGTCGCCATTATGAATATCTTTCTTTTCTTTTTCAATAAATTGTCATTTTATTCTTATCGCGATTATGATTGATTCTGCCTTCCATTTCGTTTAAAACAAATAAATTGAATGTTTGGTTTATATGAGCTGGGGTGAGTAAATAAATTATGATAGTTTTCTTCGTATAATTATTTACATGTACATATACACACACTGACACTGCTGATAACAGAGAATAACAGAGAATTAAGAAGTCACAGAGTGTTAGGGCCTACTAATCATTAATTTTGTTATAGGGATAGTTGAAATACGACGTAAAAGGCGTTATTTCGTTTTGTCAACGGTTTTTTCAAATTTTCCAAAATACCTAATATTTGTGGTGGTGCACAAGTATTAGATGATTTTGAAGATGATGATTTTGTCATTTACATATTATGTTCTTTCAAATTTGACACTCAGTTTTTCATTATCTCACAAAAACCTATTTTGTGTAGCGCCCTCTGCAACAAAACTCAACTATCCCTTTAATGGATGTTTGATGTTGCCATAGTGGGTACATTATCATTTCGGAAATTGCAGAGCGCCCCCTATCGAGATAAAGTGCAAGCATGGTTTCACATTGGAAAACACACTTAAAGGGAAATCCAACCTTGATAGCAAACTACTCTAGAGGAAAGCAGTATGATCAGAGAGGTAGACTCGTGAAGGTTTGAATAAAATCGGACAAGAAATGAGAAAGAAATAAATTTTTTGAAAATTGTAATACCATGTGCTCTTCAAATTGGCTGAATCGGTAATTTCCTGTAATGTAGTGGCGGAGAACTTTCCAATTTGTTCCAACACACAAAATGAGTAAAATTTCGATTTAATAAAAAAAAGTATGACTCGGGAGAGTCTTATATCTTTAGATGACCAGTATTTATATGCTATTCAAAATATTGAGTAGTTCACCAAACGAGACGGCACTCAGGAAGAAAACAGAAATTACTGATATTTTTGTACACGACACATGGGAGAGCTATCCGCCACTACGTCACGATCCACCGACCAAACTGCCGATTTGAGATTCCCATAGACTTTGTCATCTCATATTTCAAACATTCATAACTTTTGTATTATCTGTCCGATGTATTTAAAGCTTTCGCCATTCTGCTTATCTTAGTGTTTTGCTTTCATACAAATAAACTTATTAGAAGGGTAAGATTGCCCTTAAATCTAGGTGTATATGGTCCCCATATGGTATGTATTATTTCGACCTCATCATTGGTGGAATTCTTAACTGCTACAAACGAATACGACCTCGTCATCCTAAATATCAAAACAAAGTAACTAATGGAGTCACAAGAGTCTGACCTTCTTCGTCAGTCTTCACCAGCTCGAGATTGCCAAATAGCCCGCTATTTATGATTTGGGAAATAATTAATAAGCCCGAAGTTACAAATCGCGTCCACATCAGCTCGAAACTCGAGCTCAAGAAATTAGCTCGAGCTATTTTGCCCAGCGTTCGCGCATAGTGCGAGTCTTCGAGCTGCATGGTGAAAACGCACCGCGGACAAATAGCGGGATATTTTGCAAAGTAGTCCCGATGATTTCCCTAGCAAATGGCCCGCTATTTGCGCCTTCAACTGCCAAATATCCCGCTAATTTCATGATGGGGCTAATATACAGGTTCAGAAATAGCGGGCTATTTGGCAATCTCGAGTAGATGAAGACATGCCTGCTCATGGCGCCGAAATGTAATGGATCAAGAGATACGTCTGTGAATTAATGGACCGAAAGCGAATCAGCTGACACGAAAGAGCCGAGAAGAACACCAACGTGGGATTAAATTGCCAAACTATAATCGTCGGAGGTAATTTTTGATTCATAGTTGGTTGTTTAATGAGTTTTTTTCATAAAAAAAACGCTGTACTTGGCTGACATGATGGTGTATTGTAATGGATTTGTGAAAACCAGTCGGCAGTTCGTGACACCTCTGGAAGCCTCCAAGAGGGCAAAATTAACCAAACGTTATCCATCATTGGTTTCATAAAAATTATTGTAGCGGATAATTAGATTTGTGTGCAACGTGTATTCATTGCCATGGGAACAAGTCCGTTTTTTGGTGGGGTACCCTGTTTAACCTCTTCTACATGTAACGAACTCCGTAATTAATGCCCTGTCTACGAAAGCAAATATATACATAAATCAAACGTTGATAAAATAAGCCATAAATTGTATGCATTACCCTGCTTACATATAACCCGAACATTATCAATGTATATAGTCACAGAAGGGATTACAACATCGCTTCAATTTTTCTTTTAATTTAATGACCATGTATTGTTTTTATACAAATTAAAACATGCTCTTGGTGCGTTTTTAGCAAGTTTGGTCAGTGAAAGATTGAGTAAAACTGATTAAAAATAAGAAAGTTATGAATTTTAGAAGGTGTAATCAATCAAACACAAATTGGCAATTCTGTTACGTATCTTGCGAGGTCCCCTCCCATTTACTGAATAATTTTTTTTTTAAATGTCCCCCTAAAGAAAATGGTCAATCATATACATTCAACCTTAATATAATTATTGCAATCATGAGCTTAGACTTGTATGTCTCACCTCCCTGGGGGTCTGCTCGCTATTCATAATGACGACTATTCTTAAGGACCGCTATTCATAATTAGAGAAAAGGGTTATCATTCGTAAGTACCGCTATTCATAATCGAAGGAGAGGGTCGCTATTCATAATACAACATCGGGGTCGCTATTGAAAGGGTTCCTATTCATAATGCGAAGAGACGGTCGCTATTCATTCTATCCGTATTATAAATAGCGGTCCTTACGAGTATAGTAACCCCAATATATATGATTAGCGTCCCTTCTTCATGTTTTATGAAAAAGAAGAAGAAGAGGAAGGAGAAGAAGCACAAAGAAGGGGGGCCAGGGGGGGGGGGGTCTCCCGCCCCGTTCACTGCGACTAGTTTGTTGGCACATACCCTTGTCAGTAGCTGTGCTTAATTTTTTTTTTATATTTGTGTGAGCTGTGCGCAAAATTGACTAAAGTTCTGAACTATGATTACAATAGACTCTGTACTTTGACAAAGCCATAGACTGACCCGGACGACTGACATAATATTCTAGGCTCTGCTCTAGGATTTAGGAATGGCCGTGTAAGTAGTGTTAATCTCCGTGCTATACAGTAAAAAAAAAAAAAAAAAAAAAAAAAAAAAAAAGTAATAGTCTGATTTTGAGACCATTGTACCGACTGGTTGTACGTTTTATGCTGCGCAAAGATTCAATTAGTTTGATTTTAGCCGGTACAAGAAGTGGGTTACTGATTTAGACAAAATGCTCATGTACGCTTTACAGCTCATTGCATGGATGTTATTACCTAAGAAGAAAAAAAGCCCATCAGTCACTATAGTGTCTGACAGTGAAGTCTAGCAAGTAAACGGACACTGCTAGCGTTTAAATTTTTACAGATATAGGACATACATGACATATTCATAATTCCTGCAAAGTTCTAGAGAAGTTGATGTTGGCTGCAAAAGGGACATAGTACCTTTAACCTACACTTGCTACTCAGTCCACCCAGGTGATGGGTACCCGATAGAGGATGCGCTATATAAAAGCTAAATATTAGTATAAATATTATTTAAAATGTATTGGTTTTTTATTGGATACCATTTGGGAGTAAAAGTAGTTTGGAGTGCTATTTGGGAGTTGAATTTTTTTGTTGGTAATTTTTTTTTTAATTTAAAATTATAGGCCTATATTATTGGAATCACGTCTTGCATTTAATTTTCACCAATTCAATTCAAATCTAGACTCTATTCGAAATGTGCCTCATGATTTTTATTTAGGGGTTGCATGGTGAGAGAGAACCATGTTAACAACTTTTCGACCCTCTCTCTAGCTTGTCTGCTGTCTTCAAACACGCCCCGACTATTACAGAAATAGTCAGACCATGGACCTACACCATGAACCTGAATAGAGGTTCATGCCTACACCAAGGAGTGTACTCCTTCGGAAAAAATAAACTTGACACAAGAATACCACTGAACTCTAACACACGTAGAGTTCAGTGTAAAATACGCATGTTCTATACAAGAACAAGAACAACAACAACAACAACAACGTTCATACAACCTGCACGTGTGTGCACGCCAAATTTGATAGATCATGGGAAATACCCGGCAAAATCCGGTAAGCAGAACTCAAATTATACTTGACCTATCATAATTTGAAAAGTAAAGAAAGGGAACCATCGATATTTCTTTTGGTTAGTATATTCATTTACATATCTCTCGAGTTATTAGACTCGAGATAAAAAGCTCAACGACGGGCTATGTTACTGAAATTCTAACACTAGTAACAGAGCACAGCCGTCTTCGACGCCAGAGGCTCTGCGGTGGATGCAAGGCAGCAACCTCATTCCGAGCGGAAAGCCTTCAGAATTCGAAGCATTCAATATCTACGCCTTTTGATCTTCTTCTTTTTCCTGGTGAGAGGACCCAATCAACAAGATGATTATTATGTCACTTTTAAAGGAGGTTGGCATTGCACATTTGCTGTAATTTGTTTTCTTGTTTGATTAATGCCAAACAACGCCCTTTTCATTGCGTGCCATGCCTAGCCTGGCTGTAGTGTAGTCTATATGTAGATCTACTCTAGGCTAGGCCTAGATCTATACTATAGCCTATCATTAAAGGGAAAGTCCACCCCCAAAATAAGTTTGTTTCGATAGAGGCAGAATAATAAGAAAATCAGGTGAGTGAAAGTTTGAGCAAATTCTGAATGAAAATAAGAAAGTTATGAATTATTGAAGTTGTGATCAATCAAATACAAATTGGCAACTCTGTGACTTATCATACGAGCTCTCCTTCATTTGCTTTGTGCATAATATTCCATAAAATCATGTTTTCTTCGTTATTGATGACGGAATATATATTTGTTCCTTGCAGGGGGAGTATAGAAACATATTTGCAATTATTATATTTAGGGTGCATGTATGGTTGAAATTTTTCTTGAGGGAAAATGAAAATTTTAGATTTTTTTAGTACTGAGCAAATGGTAGTTGAGCTCGCATGATACGTCATAGAGTTGCCAATTTGTGTTTGATTGATTACAACTTCAAAAATCCTAACTTCCTTATTTTTAATCGGAATTTGCTCAAACTTTCACTGACTTGTTTCTCTCATTTTTCTACTCCTATTAAAACTAACTTAATTTCAGGGTGGACTTCCCCTTTAAAACTAAAGGAGAGCAATTTTAAAACTAATGAGACTTCACACAATTTGAGTTTGCCTAATATCCTTTGCATGTATCTTTACATTTTATCCAGATAATGCAACCATAGATGCTAAAATGACGACCAACATCACCATTTTAAAGGTAAGTCTGTCTTTTTTCTCTTCTCTCTTTTCTTTCTGTTTTATGAATAAATTAATTTGATAACCTTTTTCTTCAGTTTTTCTTTTGATCAGTTTGTAAGAGTGATGGACTATGTGATTTAAAATGATTTGCTTTGCCCATTTTTAGTTCCCCTTTTGTTGATTAAATTGGTTCTATATTTTTATTATTTTGGTAGAATTCCAAATCGTCCAATCTTGCATGCTGAAGCCAAAATATCTCCTGGGAAATCGTCCTATTTGGAATTTGAGATCAGAGAATGTTCAGTTTGATTGAGGAGGACCATTTATTTTAATACATTTCCCTCTCACAGTCTTAGGGGTAGATCTTTTGAAAGTATTTCATTAATAACCCCATTACATGCAATCTGTCAGTTCACAGTTGTAAAACCATTATTTTCCCTAATGATTTTGCACTCTTGGAGATTCAGTAGATGTTATTTTCCCCAATAGAAACTGAATATGGTCTGACTCAGTAGGCGTGTCTGCACTATCTCGAGATTGCCAAATATCCAGCTATTTTGAACTATCCCGATCGAAACTATCCAGCTATTTGCGTCTTCATTAGACCGAAGTGGCAAATTAGCTGGATAGTTGGTCGGGATAATATCCCAAGATATCTCGGTCTAGTTTGCAAAATATCCTTCTATTTCCGAACTAGCGGGATAGTTTGCGACCGTCTTCATTAGACCGAAGTACGGAGTCAATTATCCCGATCCCATCATGCACAACGATTTCCGGTTCGCACATGCGATCTATACCGCTCAGCGCTGACCTCGCAACCACTGACCTCGAGTAAACACGGAAAACCGCAAACTAGACCGAGATATCTTGGGATATTATCCCGACCAACTATCCAGCTAATTTGCTACTTCGGTCTAATGAAGACGCAAATAAGCTGGATAGTTTGCGATCGGGATAATTCAAATAGCTGGATATATGGCAATCTCGAGATAGTGCAGACACGCCTAGTATTTTATTTTGCTGGTTCATTTATTAATGACTCCCAAATACTCTTGCCATAACATAACTTGATTTAACCAATTCATGACCTTCATCATTGTGGTGTCTTTGGTTTAACTCCAATCTGAGAATTTTCAAATATAACCTGATGCATCCTGGAACCAGGTGGTTGCTGTATTTGACCTATGGGGAATATGAGTATTAAGTTGTCAATGGGTTAACTTTCAAAGAGAAATGAAAGGAAAGGTTAGGTCTGGAAGAAACTGGTGGCAGTGGTAAAAAGAAGTGGATTGAGACTGATGGGTCATGTGTTGAGAAGGGAAGAGTGGATGGCATAATAGGAAAGGGAAGACCAAAGTTTTCATCTTCATGGAAAGATATGGTGAAGAAAGAAAGCAGTAAGGTTTAAATGAGGAGGATGCTATAGAGAAGAAGAAGTAGAGTGAGGGAGGAAGTGTCATTATGGCACGAAAGTCAGTAATCCCTTGTAAGAGCGGAGTGCTGACTTTAATTAAAAATGATCATGACAAATGTATTACCAATACAGATGAACATTCATGATTGCAATCTGATAAACAATTTTGTTTTATATTCATGAAATGATGAAAGCATGATATGTGGTTGAAGAAGAATGTTTAATGTTTATTTACAGATTGATGACCCCTTCCATTTCTGGGGGAAGGAGGTGCTAGGACCTGGAGTATCTCATGAGACCATTCAGTTCCAGGAACTATGTGATGAGATTGAGGACTACTGCTCTTCAGACCAATACATCATAGAACATGTTAACAATCCAGTCAAGGGCAGGGTATGTACTACGCCAGGGCCAGGGCCAGAATGCTTATACAGACGGCTAAACTACCATTAGGAGCAAAGCCATTCAGGGAAAAAATTACTTCAAAAATTTCGGGGGCTACCTTTCAAGCTTGCTTGCATGACAATAAAACTCTTTAATTAGTTTTGCATTGAACTCTATGCGAAATTTGGGGATCTTTTAAGACTTTCCGGGGCTCTTTGGGGCATTTCGGGGGCTTATTTGCCCCGAGCCCCTGTGTATTTTTTTCCCTGAAGCCATTGAATCACTTAAAAGTGTACGTACCAATCACCTGGAAACTAAGTTGTGTAAAGCTGAAATGTATACAAATCAACCCCAGAGAGTTTGCTTGGCTATAGGTAAACAGAGAAGGAGTAGGAAGAAATTAGAGGACAACATCAAACCCTGTTTGCGAGTGCCTACCGGTATGTGTCCTTTTAAACTAGTCTACACAACAAGACATTTTACTGCTCGTTGAGTGCGATTTAAACTGAAATGTCTCGCTATAATTAATATTCCAAGCTTATATTTTGATACAGTATAGAGACATAGAACTCTTCTCTTCAAGTACACAGAAGATAGGGGCTAAAAATGTTTCAAAAACTTAATAACATCCTTTAAATATTTTGCTAGAATATCATATCACACACACATGTACAAAATCTCTCAAAATTACTGAACTTGAAGGTTGACATCCACTTACTGAAGACAAACTTTGCATCCATGTACTGTACACACATGTGTGCACAAGGGACTGTGCTGAATATATTGCTAGATTTCAATAAAATCTATCATATGTCTTATATTTCACAGGTTTGAAATGCAATTCTAACCTTCATAATCGAATGAGATGAAAGATATCTTGTATATGTGAAAGGGATTTGCTTCTTATTGCTGTCGTATCATTAGTTGATCGATTTTGCATTTCTAGCTTTATTCTCCCTTCCATTCTTGAAGTACTCATGAGATTTTGTGCTATGATTTTTTTCCTCTTTTATATTATTCCATCGGTTCTGTAGAATGCATCAACAAAAGAAAAGAAATCTCTGGGTGGTCAGAATGCAAGGCTTTGAAAAATGCAGAACAAATCATTACAGTGCTTGCTTTCATGTGTCCCTTTAGTTATATTGATTCTTCATAGTTTCTAGTCTTTAAATCTTGTTGAGATTGATACTGAATTGGTAAGGTTTTCACCTGTTCAATACTAAGTCCAAGATAACTTAGATTTAAGGCTATAACAATTGTGTTTTACCGAACTCAATAGATATCAAATGGGTTGGAACAATAGTGTACTGATAACACTTCAATATATCTCATTATGAATCTTGTTACACTGAATTAAAAATTCTCTTAAAATTTTGAATTTTATCATAACAATTGATATTAAGAGTATTATATCAGTACATTGATGAATAATCAAGACTATTTTTTGTTTTGTTACAGATGTATCTAGCTCAGAGGCCTAGTGATAGTAAATGGTACCGAGCTAGGGTTCTCAGCAATTATCAGACAGCTCATGGAATAAAAGCCTCGTAAGTTATTTTCAATTTAAGGGTTTTGTAAGTTAAAGTGACACTGTAACATTGTCTCAGATTCTGAAACGAAATCCTGGATTTAGCTCATGCTGCAATGATAATTATAAACCTGTAGGTCAGTCAGGAACCCCATGACCTTTACAAACCGATCGCCTGTCTGATTATCAAGATATTTATGATTGGAAATAAAAATCAATTTTCCGTTATCCTAACGGTTTATACCATTACAGTCTATTGGGGAAAATGTGTATTTTTGAGGCGCTTCATGCTGTGTGTGAGACTTGTACACCCATTCATAGTATTTCAACCGAACCTGGTGTCAGTGAATTATGATCTTCTGCATTTGGAAACTGATGACCATCTCCCTTTAAACCTCTTTAATAATGATCATGTCTTTGTTCTAACAAATTTAAAACTACCTACATGTATATATGTAGTGTTGTGTTTTTTTGGTGAGAGATATATGTTAGGTCTTGGGACTATAAAAAAACACTACATGATAAACTGAATGCAAGATTGAAGCAACTAGTGTAGAGGTGTCATGGATACGTCGTCAGATTGTGGATCACATGGTTTGCAGCGCCACCAATTTCCTTTAGCATTTAAACTATATTTGCTACTCTACACCCAGGTGTTAAATGGGTACCGATAGAAAAGAATTCCTTGAATGCTGTGAGCAAACGGTAGCTTAAAGCAAAGCCAAAATAATATTGGAACGCCTTAAGAACCTTGTGTGGTGCATTTATGCTCTATTAGAATATCAATTATTATTTATTATTAGTGTAACTGTACTTCATGATCTGTAAATTCATTTGTTGTATTATAGAAGGACATGTAATCTATATTGAAAACACAGAAACCTGCATTGTACAAAGAATGATACCTTCTAAGTTATGTTATACTCTGAAGCATGTTTACTACATGTAGATATCAATGTTTAAAATATTCTTCATTTTTATATATGTACAGGCATGTTTCTATTGAAATAAAAGAAAGAATTAATTCACCTTGTTCTCACTATGATTGACATAGTTAAATTGATACATGTTGGAGTTATATCTTGTAACATGTAATATGATTTTGTGTGTGTTTATATTGTTAGGTGTCATCTAGTGGATTATGCAGAGTCATTCCTGGTTCCAATCAATAGGTAAGTCATTTATCTATTCTCTTCAATTCATATTCATAAGTGTGTTTTATTTCTTGTGTGTGTGTGTTGAAAAGGGGCGAGAGTGACTGGCTATATTAACTTATTCTGTTATTTTAGACGATGTAATAATCTCAAAATACTGAACAAATAGTGTCACACCATAGTTTTCAACCTGGTTCCATGACTGAATCCTAGCTTATACAGTGTATGTCAGTTACCATTGAAGAAATTAACCTTTGACCTTTTGACTTGACCTTTCACTCCTATTGTATTGACAGATTGAAGGAGATTCCAGCCAAACTGAAGATGTTTCCATCACAAGCCAAACCTTTCAGACTACACGATCTACAACCCACTACCTTACATGTCACCATTGAAGAAAATCAGGCAGAACTGGGGTAATAATATATCATGAGTGAAAGCTTTTTTGTAGAATTTAAGCACCTGGAAACATTATTCCTGCCGGAGGCATTATGTTATTGGTTGTCGTCTGTCCATCCATCATGCTTTCTGCTACCGCTGTAACTCAAGAACCATTGAGAAGATTTAACCAAACTTGGATCAAGTATGTATAGAGCATGCATGTATGAACTGATTTGGGTGGAAGAGGTAAAACATCAAATTCAAAGGTCATAAAAGTGTTGAAAAACTACCAACAAATTCTCATTACCAGTTGCATTTGCTAAAAAGAGGAAGAAAAGTGGTGGTTACTTAAGAAGATCATATTTTATTACACCAAGTGGCAACAAAATTTCTTGAAAATTTGCCATTTCCCCCAGTACTATGTTGTGTTGCGTACAATAGCCATATCAGGTATCAACACATAATTGTTGACAGCTATTCACACCAGCACACAGTGGGCCAGAATCGCCTCAAAGTGTGCCAAAATTCAAAATTGGCGAATGTGAATTTTTAAATTTTTTTTATTCGCTTTGGGAAGAAAACATTCTAAAGAATATTTTTCCACCCATATTTTAATAGTTAGCGAGTTTTAAAAGTGTCATATACCCCTGTGAACATGGGAAAATCTACATGTTTCTCCAAAAATGATAAAAGAGGCAACTTTACAATAGGTGTTGAGAATTTATGAAGGGAAAAGCAATCAACTTGATAATGCGTGCACTTCTTGCCTATTGGTAACCCAATTAGAAAATACAATGACCAAATTTATGGAAGCTTCATTTTTGGAAAAATGAGCATTAAATTTCACAAAAAAAGGAAAAAATTGCAATTTGTATATAAAAGCAGCATGTTTATTAGGATTCCGGCCGATTCCCGCAGTGATGTTAATTTTAAAATGTTTGCCTAAACCTAAGATTATTATTAGGCATAATCGGTACACATTTGTACTGTTTACGTTTACGCACAGCCGCTTCAACGCTCGTCCGCGTAACTATGGCAACGGTTACGTGAGTGTAGAGCGTATAGCGTAGTGTATATTGCTTCCACACGTTGATGCAATTCGCAATCATATATGGTATCATTCTAGGAGAACTTGGATTGAAAGAAACGATGGCGGTATTAAGAAGACTTTAAGAAGCTTTTTCATGTTGTGCATTCAGCTGGCTTCATTTCAGACATCAAACTGGCATCCGAAACATCCATTGATGCATTATGTGCATATCATAATGTGGGTAACAAGTCAAACATCCCACAAAAACTTATCAAGAGTTTGTCAAAGACTATTGGACGCTTTCTGTATCGTATGCGAGAGAAATGGAACAAGTGTGGTCGTTACCAGGAATATTTCATGAAAGAAAATGAGGACTGGCTTAATCAGACATTGACATTCAATACTGAAGTAGAAACATTTCTTGCACAGCAAAACAGCACAGATACCGGGACAGAAACAGAGCCCGGCAACTTCAGACTTGCCAGGCACGTCACAGGGCGCATCCAATGTGGGACGTCCAGCTAAGAATTGGGACACCCTCTCAGATCGTTCTAAAAAAAGAAAAGCACACCACCTTCTAGAAGACAGGGAACCAGAGGAACTTCTATATGCGGCATCTCAAGGCGTGTATAAGAAAAATTCAAGTTTGAAATATGTGTTGAAATTCGCAATGCTAACACCATCAAGACCAGCTAAAATAGGAAAACTGATATCAGAAAAAAAGAAAGAACCATTAAAATTCTCAAGTGCAGAAGCTTTGTCACTTTTAGTTGAAACAGGAATGACAAAACAGGCATACCAAACAACCAGACTTGCTGCAAAAGATGTTGCCATCAGTCTTTTATCAGTCAAAACTCCACAGCCAAGACCTCTGCCACGTGAAGTCCAAGAGATGCTGAAACACCTTCGGGTCATTCAAGACAATGATTCTCCAGACAGTGACTCGTAATGAGAAGCAGAAGGACCCATACATAAAGATATGGCAACAATTTTATAAAACGTTCAAGGGTATTTCATATTTTTAAATCATAATCATTTATTTGATTATATTCCAAATCCCTTTGAACATCTTCTGAAATCAATCGATGTCTCATTCTTTAAATTCATATGGAAATGGAAACCCGATACAATAAACAGAAAACAAGTAGTTTGTAAATACGAAGATAGTGGACTAAAAATAGTTGATGCTGGACACTTTTATGGAGAGAAATTTAAAAATGCTCCAATTGTGCGCCTTAGGTCCAGAAACCCCTGAAAAGTTCCCCTAGTCAGTGTAATATGAATCTGTCTATGTGTTACAATGATTATTTGCCTTGCCCAACCAGAAAACAGTATTTTGATGACATCATAGAAATTTGAAAATGCTCCAACTGTGTTTCTTAGGTCAAGAAACCCCTTATAAGTTCCACTAATCTGTGTAATATGAATCTGTCTATGTGTTTAATACAATGAATATTTGCCTTGTCCAATCAGAAAACAGTATTTTAATTACGTCAGAGAAATTTGAAAATGCTCCAATTATTGTGTTTCTTAGGTCCAGAAACCCCTTATAAGTTCCACTAGTCAGTGTAATATGAATCTGTCTATGTGTTACAATGCATATTTGCCTTGTCCAATCAGAATACAGTATTTTGATGACGTCACACGGATTTGAAAATACTCCCATCGAATTCTATGGGTCTGAAAACCCCTAAGTTACTTTAACCAGGAACTTCATTAACCTTCTTCAATGAGAAATTAATTTTGGCACACTTTGAGGCGGTTCTGGCCCACTGTGCAGCAGTCCCTATAAGGACAGTCCCTAATTGGTTAGCTGCTACTCAGAAAATGTTAAGTATCACTAATCTATTAAAAAACAAAAGAATATTTTTTACACATGTAACAACAAAAATATTGTAGAGCACACATTGTAGGAATGTGAAAGTGAACACTTACATCAGAGAACAGCGACATTGCATCACAATGTGTCTTAATAGATTTATAGAACAGATAGTATGAGGGTTTGTAATAATATTAAATGATTCAGACATTGTATTACATGTATGTTCCTCTTGCTTTAAGCATGTTGTTTCTCATGCTTGTTTTTTTTCTTCTTATCTTTAAAGAGATGGCATAACCAATAAGAACATTTGGTATTGAGCGGTATTTTATTGCTTTAAAGCTGAGAAGTTGAGAGATTTGGAATCCTGACCTTTCTTTGTACTGAATGTCTTTATACAGGCCAGCACAGAAATGGGACATAGCAGCAGTGGAATTCTTCAAGAATATTGTTGAAGGTAGGATAAGTATTCATAACCTATAGAGGAGTCAAATCAAAGTACAGTTGAAATAAAATTTATTTTTATTTTATTTTATTGAAATATATTTTATCAGGATAACAATAACCAGATATACATTGTGGATACAAAATCTGTTGTACATCATGGTCCTGAACAGAATAAAGATGTAAAACACGAAATAAAATAATGAATATCACCAAAGCTCACAAACAAAGGTAAAAACAGTATAAAACTAACATATAAGAATAATACGAACTAGAAGTAGTAAAATGCCCACCCCAAAAATCTATGAAATAAAAACACAGTTATTCATCCTATGAAGGGGTTCCCCTTTGCCCTGCCTTTACATGTGTATCAATGCAATTTTAACGTATATGCAACAATTTGGAAGATGGGATATCTTTTTGATTTTTTCTTTCTTTACACTAATGTTAGCTAAAAGATAAAGGTAGCAAGATACTTGCAATTCCATCTTGCTTCAAATTTGCTTCCTCTCAAAGAGGATGAATAAAACACTTGAGATATGAAAAATATTGGTTTCTTGGGCATGAGCTATTTTGCTTGATTAGTTATCCATATTAGATTTTAATACAGTGAAATTTCAAGTAATCAATTATTATGAATATATGCTTTTATCTCTTATTTTTAAATTTCCTTATATTTTGTTGTCATTGATTTATTGCTGTTAAAAAAGTGATAAACAAAGAGGCAAGCTTCTGTTTTTTGAAATACTACAATAATATTTTCCTGCAATATCCTAGCATCTTATGAAAAATGTATTTTTCAGTTATGAAGGTACAAATTGTTTAAAAGTAGATACACGTTACTTGATATAATTCATTACACTATGCTATACATGTAAAGTCTAGGTTAGCAGTCATATAGTGGTTAGTAACTTGAAAGATAGAGAAGAACGTTTCCCCAAGCTATTTTGATAACTTATAACGTTTTTACCCTGAGATAAAAGTTCTGGTTGTGCCTATTACCTGTGAAAAATCAGACTCTGGTCTAAGAATTTATAAAAATGTGTATATACTTTTCATAGAAATACTTTAATTCAGTTGTAAATCCACCTGTTCTATGTTGTATATGACAGACCGGTCAGCTCAGGTGGACATACATGGGATTGGTCAAAAGGAAACACGATTTGTTACTCTCCATGTGAACACACCACATGGACAGGTAAGATCATCCTAGCTCCAAAGGTAGAATATATTATTGGGTGGAATTGTATCATTGTTAGGATAAGAACCTAACTCATGTTTTTTTTTATGGCCACCCAAATCCAATAATGTTCTATCTTGTGTTGTTATCTGATGTATCGCTTTATTGTTCTATCATTTTACCTTATTTTGTACTGGATTTATACGGTTATTTTGTCATGATTTGATTTGATTTATTTATTTCTGTTTGATTTCTTTTTCTTTTGCATTTTTACAAATATATAACACACAAACCATTGCAAATTTTACACATTTGAAAAGAATATAATGACGAATAAAGTAAGACAGGCTGTAACTAGTCCAGAAAAAAAATCAAACAGGAGGGTATATTGGAATGGAATAACATTGAATTGAATTGAATAGTACCATTTACATTAGGTATAGAATAACCCACCCATGAATGTGTAGTTGTTATCTTGCGCCTATATTCATAAAACCTTACACACAGCTAGTTGTCAACTAATTACATTGTTTACATTACAACTAGGCATAGTAAGGTGAATATACATTGTAGATATAGGTCATCTTTGAAATTGAATTTATTCATTTTTTTACAAGGTTTTAAAAAAAAAACTACCATGGTTTACCACTTCATTTGTGAATGAGCCCTCATACCTGAATGGCCGACTTTGTAGAACTTTAGCATATCAGGTGCCCATTTTATACCATTCACACATGGTGTGATAAGCTACTTACTTTTATTTTCTTTTTTAAAGATAAGACCAGTTATGATCATGCGATTGCATTGTGAAAGAAATGTTGTGGAATCGATCAGCAAAGGTTGATCATCTAGCATATAAGTATTGGTGTGTACTGCAAGGTTCTGGAATCTTCAAAATGATAAGAAATTTGGCCAAGTCTTGATAAAGTTACGAGCACTGTACACAGAAAGATGTATATGGGACTACCCCCACACGTGTGCGACACGTGCGTTATATCTATCAGGTCCAAATAGATATAATAATTTACCAAATATATCAATTAGTAGGCGGTTTCTTGGCAAAATTTGTATGATCACGTATTAGTCAAAACATATTCTTTCACATGATTGGTAATAAGAGCTTCCATTTCATTTTTTGAGAGGGGGGCGTTTCCAAAACTGGTCTTTACCTTTAAAGTTCATTATGCTAAGTGATCATTTAAGCAGAGTTGCAGTCCACTTGCATTTCTTTTGTTAAAATGGTGGATACTACCTTTTCTCACTCCAGGTGAATGTGAATGAAGAGCTTCTAAAGCTGGGTTATGCTGTTAGTGTTGAAAGGGAGTTTGATGAAGGTAAGTGACTTTCACTGAACTGTAAATTTCAGGTTTTCATTGCACTATTACTAATGGATGTAATTGCAGTTTTTGATTTTCTCCTGTGTATATTGCTTTATCTCCTTTTTAATTTTAATAATTGAATAAACAGTAAATAAATATTACTAATATAGTGATTGAGCTGAATACATAATTCTGCTTTAAAGCCTTCAGTTAAAATTGATTTGAGGGTTTAAAGATCTTCCAATCCTTTTTTTTCTTGAATTGTATACTTCAAGGATGCAAACGTTTATTTGCTTACATTTGTTTACTGGGCTGATTCATTTATGATGTTTTGAATACTGGTCTCAATAACGAAGCAAATCTGTGAGATGTTAGACTGATGTTATATCACAAAATGTAAGGCAAATTCTAGATGATAATGTTGACAGGCTTTATGATGGAATTAAATCGGATTTAGGAAGGTCATTGACTTATATGTATACCCATACCTGCCAACCACCCCGATTTAGGCGGAGTTCCTCCGCATTTTTCATACCAACTCCGAATTCCGAGTGCATGCCTCAAAACTCTGATTTTTTTTAATTTTAAAATATTTTTAAAACAAACGACTGTTGCATAAGACTAAAGCATAACACAGCACTGATAACCAGATCACGCCGACATCCGCGCTCGCGCTCATGGAAGATATACACAGCGCAGCCCGAACGTGATCGTTAGTTCCGCAGTCCAATGGCTTCTATTGGTAAATCAATAATGATCAATGAAGATGTAGATTCCATAACTCTCCTTCCTTTTCCTGTTCCTCTTCTTGCCACCGCTGGTGGCAAGAAGATATAGAAGATATACACAGCGCAGCCCGAACGTGATCGTTAGTTCCGCAGTCATTATCCATGTACTGCATGTACTAGTACATAGAAGCACGTGCGCAAGCTATATCGATAAAGTGTGTGCGGACGTTGTACTAATACATACACTACATGCATGCGTATAGCCCACGTGTATTTATATTACATGTGCAGTTGCATAAACACTGTATACATTGGCATGTTTTCTTCAATGCTTGTGCGATGGCTGCGATCGTGGAAGCTTGTTATTTACCGGACTTCCTCGGATTTATTTTGGATTACTACTACTATATTCTTCTTCTTCGTTGATTTCTCCATTTTTGAAGGACAAAATGGGTAAGACTCGTGCTGTTCATAATCAGAAGTATAAGAAAGAATACAGGAAACAATTTCCAGTTGCAGAATCAGCACTCGGACTTCAACACGCATTTTGCATTGTGTGTTCGGCCGACTTCAGTATCAACCATGGGGGAATGAATGACATTCAGAAACATTTGCACCATTAAAATGGAGAGAAAAAAAAATAGACCCTGAAGTTCTGTGTACCCCCCCCCCCCCAATCTACGGGCTACTACCCCAATCCTTCGGTGGTTCGCGACCTCGTAGTCCATCCAGAAAAATTTACTCCTAATTTCTCTTGTCTCAGGTTGGCAGGTATGTATACCAATATTTTGTATTTAGAAGACAAAAATAAATTTAAGAGAAATATGCATTAATGTATGAAACTTGTTCTTGTTGTTGACAGTATCAGAGATAGGAAGCTCAGAAGGTGGATGCTCTCGCCCTATGACCCCTAGAACATACACCCCTAAGATCTCTAGTCCTCCTCGGATCAACGAGGTAGAGCCATCAGAGACAGAGATATACGGTGCAGGACCCTCACCCTGGACACCGGGAGGTCAGAGTTCTTCTGGTCAAACTCTAAATGGAGAGACGCAGAGTAACTCTGGAGGTATCTTGGTACGACACGCTCCAGATGAGGATGTTCATCTTAGATCGCCAAGAGCCAGAGGATCTAGTCCTTCACTAAGGCAGGTCCAGGACCAGGTCCAGGACCAGGTCCAGGTCCAGGATGAGATGAGTCCTGACAATACATCCAAAGATGTTGAAGGATCACAGTTAACTCCATCTACAGGCAGAGGGCGTGGCCTTGCAGCACTCGTCAGGACCAGTGAAGTTGGACGAACCAGATCACCGAGCCCATTATCACCTCCTTCCTCTACAACCTCCCCTCCATCAAACATCTTGAAGTCAGCTAACCTTCAAAGGATGTTGGAAAAGTCTCCTCGATCATCTCCATCAGCCCAGCCATCAACGTCTCCATCAGCCCAGCCATTAACGTCTCCTCAATCATCTCCATCATCTCAACCATCGAAGTCTCCCAAGAGCTCAACTCAACCATCCCTTTCTCCTTGTCCTCTTGATGAGAATGTTGTTCCGAGACCAGGGATCCACAAACCTCTTGTAATCTCTAAAACTACCAGACAGCCATTCATGAGAGATGTGAGCGTAAGACCAAAGGAGTTACCATCCAAACAGGTTAGGACACCTAGGCAATCAGAAACCAAGTCTCCTCCAACTTTCGTGTCCCCAGTCAGGGATTCTAAGTTACCATGGAAACACAAAACCCACAGAGGAGCATCTCAACAGAGTCCATCTTCATCTGATTGGAAAAAGATGAGTTCAACGAGTGGACAATCGGATGTTTCTGAAGGAGAGGTTACTACACCAGTCAGAGCAAAGACTACACCGACATCCTCCCCCTCTGAACGGGCCAAGATTATTCAAGAAAGGTAGAATAATATCACCTATCTTGATAACATGTAATAAGTGGTCAGACCTTTCGAAAGCTTACTTGACATATTCCACAGACATAAGTCTTCTCGAATTTACTTAATTCAGGTTATATTTTCTCTTTTAAGTCGTACTAATCACCTTAAACAATACAAATTGTGTTCTACCAGAACGTGAAAGTCAACCCACAAAATCTTCCTGACAGTTAAGGAGTATGATGAAAATAAAGGATTACCTAAATCTTAAGGCACAGGTGTCGCCAAATACTTAATAATCATGATAAAAATAAGCCTGTAATAAGTACCAATTTTTAAAGATATATGCCGGCTTTTCAATGGTTTACAATGGTAGCTGGTTTTGGTCTAAAACCAGTCGATGCGCTATCACTGAATTCTGTTTTCAAACTATAATCTTTCCTTATTTATGATACTAATATGTAATGCAAGTATTCTTGGTAAGAATAGCTTTCATTTTCATTGGATTCCAAATATGATTTGTTCTCTCAAGCATTACATGTCCTATGATTATATCACATTCTTTTAAATAAGCATATGAATGAACCAAATTCATTCTTTTTTTACATTTCAGTCTTCTAAAGCAGTTGAAGTCTGGCAGCCCTGAAGATGAACCTCGTACTGGATCTTCTAGTCATCACCATGGCAACGAGATGGGCGTGATCATGCATGGGGACCTCCCACCTGATCCGATCAGACAAATCAAAAATGCTCCGTTCCCAGAAGTCATCAAGAAGGTCAGTTAGATTATCAAGGGGTTTGGGGGTAAAAATAAAACATACTGCATTTTATAAATGATTTTACTACTTGTAGTTTCAATGTAACTGACAAAAGTGCTTACAGTCTTGGGATTCCATTATGATTGTGCATTCTACGGTGCATTCCAGCTAGTCACCTGATTACAGACATGCCAATCCAACCACAGTGATATTCACATCCTTCCCAGTACCCTTTGGAGTTAAAAAGCCTTGATAAAGGACATAAGTGCCATGCTGGGGATGGTACCCATGACCTTTGTATTCCCAGTCTAGTGATTAGACCACTTGACTACAGCACCTCTACAATTCGCCTCTGATTGAATACATGTCCATATTGTTGTTTTATACACCGATTCGGGCGACTTCTGGTGGATGTGCGCCCTCATAAGGTGACGCCATAACTGGGGGGCGTCTGACTGCAGCTAGCTAGCTTACATTGCAACGGGTATGCTATACCTATACCGAACCTCGCCCAGGCCGGCCAGGGTCGCTGCTCCGCTAGCTAGTAACCGCTCTCGAGCTCTCTGTACTGTCAGCTGGATTGGAGAAGCCCCCCAGTTATAGCGCCGCCACCGGCGGGCAGGTACATAAAACCCCCAAACCGAATCGGTGTATACACAGACCCTCTGCCCATATTGATATTGCCAGAAACTGATATGCTGCACATAAAAGCACTGTCACTAGGAGAGCATTTTGACTAAATATCATTTGAGAAAGTAATAAGTAAAGATTTTTGCTGATGAAGCAAGTGTCATAAGATTCATAAGATTTTTGTTGCCAATTTGAGTTTCCAATAAAAAGTTTACTCTATTTCTTTTGTAACACAGTCATATTTATGTATGCCTTTTGAAATAATTCCTCTTTTTTTTTTTTTTTATAGATAGTTTCTTTTTAAAAAAAAGAGGCATCATGCTACCCATCTTTATTCAGTAGGGGACATGTCTTTGTTTTGTCACTAAGTGTCTTCCAATCAATGACACTTTTTATCTTGTTTGCTGATTCAACATCATTAATGATTGATTCATGGATTATCTTGATTTGATTGTTTAGGTTTACCAGAGAGAAAAGACACACATGAACATAAGTCTTCTTGAAGCCTATGCTTGGCCAGCAGTACTGAGAGGTCGTGACCTTGTGGGCGTGGCTCCGAGAGATGGAGCAAACACCCTAGCCTTCCTTCTACCAGTCATCACTCAGCTGCTCCAATCAAGTACATACACCAACCTACCACCAGGCAATGGGGTGTGTACATTAAATTACTCAGTAACTAAATGGGAGAGGACCTTGAAAGATGTATCCAGAGTTGTCAATTTATGTTTGATTGATTACAACTTTGATTACTTAAAAAAGTCATAATTATTTATAGCTTTTTTATCTGATTTTGGTCAACTATATATTAGGGTGGACACTATAACATGTTGACAACTGACATCTCTGAATGATATAGTCCTAATAGAGAGGCCACCTGGTTCTAGTAGACAATGGGTTACTTACTACACTCGAATCTTAACCTTAGAGAACCAGATGGTTCCTGGTTTGAGCCTATTGGAATGGGACAATTTAGTAGTCACGGGGTTCAGTCACAAAAAGCAATGTGTGGATATAGTACTCTCCACATGGAATGGACTTCTTAAAACTTGTTCAGAGGCAGCAAAACCCTGGCTTTTTCTTTAATGCTGACATTAAGTGTAATGCGCTTCCTATTCTAAATCTTACAACACAGACCTCAGTGAATACATTTGTTGCATGCAGTTGCCTTTTTACACGCAATTTTACATGCAAGAAAACTCTTTTTTTGCTTCTTTTTGTGATGGTTAACAGCATCATATCTGAACTTTTTCTCCTATTTATCTTGCAGCCTCTGGCATTGATTCTGTGTACATCCTGGGAGCATGCAGAGTCTGTATGTCAGCTGTGTGAGAAGTTTGTAAGAGCAGCAAGCAAGTCAATCAACACCATCTTCCTATATGGGGGTAACAATGAGAAACAACAAGAGGTTAGTATTACACACACATTACACATTTTATCACCATCTTAAGATACTATGGAACATTTTAAGCATAAAATGAAAGGATCGAAATGTCCATAACTTGAACTGCTTTCGAACGTTTCAGACAAAACAAATAATTCTTAATCGTGTTAGATGGCCATTGCATCATGCCCCGCCTCCCCCCCCCCCCCCCACTCCAGGAACGAAGAGACCGTATTCATGTTCCCTAAAGCTACGGTAAAGGGGTACTTTTCACGTGACAAAGTCTGGCTCGTAATACACAAAAAATTGGCCCGTATTGACTTTACACACCAGACTTAGGGGGGTGCTTTCAAAGGGAGGGAACATGCATACGTGTACTATAAATAACACTGAGTGGGGGGGGGGGGGGGTGGGTGCCCCCCCTTCCCTGTTACAAAGTTCAGGTTATACCATTTGGACTGCATATTTATCATTTAAATTATACTGTAATGTTAGAGAAATGCTAAAATGAAGGGCTGAATAAACAAATGATTAAAAAGAACATTTATTTACATATTAAATTGAAGTTTTTAAAGTTTTGAATAACTGTTTTTCTCAACTCCAGGTCCAACTGGTAAATGGCTGTCAGATCTTGATTTCTACCTTGCCATGTGTGTTGAAGATGAAAGAAAGAAACCTGACAAACTTCAACAGACTTTGTCATGTGGTATGTAGATCTCTCCTGTTATCATTGCATGCCCAGTAGAAGAGTGTAAATAGAGATACTCCTTGTAGTATAGTGTATAAGAAATTCCTTTGCTGAAACCATCTGTGGATCTAGAGAGGTCCCAAATAAATTTTAGTCTAGGTCCTTGTCTTGTCGGTGGATCTAGAGAGGTGCGCGCACATGATCCGTTTCGAAGCTTCTCATTCTTGAACCCATTTTATAATAGCATTTATTGTACTCTACATTTGTGGAAAGTACACCTATATTTTAAAATGGTAATTTATTGTAAATTGCCTATTAGTCATTTCATGTATAACTGGGATAAATCTTGACTTATCTTCAAAATTGTATGTGGTGTGTGCTCTTTATGATGTGTAACCTGAGACCTGATTCTAAGAAAGTAATTACTTTTGCATTTTTCACATTTGTTTAGATCTTTGATGAGGGAAACATTCTTTTCAGGGACTTCTTTGATGAGGTAAGTGTTGTCTTTAAAATTGTCAACTCAATATGCCTGATTAATTATGTGTTTTACCTGACATAGCATCAGCTAATGTCAGGTTAATAATATCATTTGGAAGTGCATAGAGATGTGCGATATTGAAGAATTGCATTTTTTGGTCATTACTTTGATTGAGTCCTTATCATGCCCTGTGTAGTGATATAGAATGTTTAGGATAATTCAACCGTAAATCAAGAAGTGATCCATTTCTATTTTATAACTGACTTATGTGCAACTTGTATGAAGAGATGGGTGAAGATGTGGCAATGGAGAGAGATAAATTTGCTTGTTGCATGTATTGGAAAAGTAGGGTCAATAATGTTCACAAGCCTTCTGAAACTTCTGGGTTTTTTTTTTTCGAGTTCACATTAAAACAAAAGGTCTTGTATGAATGCACATGTTTTAAACATGTTTACAGAAAAAATGAAATGAAGGCAAGAAACAATAGGCGGGGACTTTCACCAATATGATAACTGTTTTGACTCCACTTCCTTTAATAGAGCCATACAGGATGGCCCACAAACAAAAATGTAATCATGTGGAATTGCGACTTGGAAGGATTATGACCATACATGTATGTCTTCAAAGTGTGAAAATTGCTAGTGGCCTGGGTCCAAGCCTTGCTTAAGGCCTCTAGGTTCTATCATGGTCTCTCGTGTAATATCACCCATATTTTGAAGCATTTGTAAATACAATGTATGACTAGGTAAACAAATTTAAAGCTAAAATTCAAATATATTGTTGTCACATGTTAAAACCCCTCATAGACTGTCCTGTGCATCTGTGTATGGCATAGATGAAGATATTTCATTGTCTCTATTTGACCAGGTGAAGATCATGATGCAAGAGCTTCTGAGTGTACTAAGGGTTGATCAGAGGCGGTCAGCTCCAAGGCAGCTTCTGGTCTTTGCCAATGAGTGGACATCAGCTATAGGTTCCTTTCTCCGGACATACATGACCAATCAACTTGTAGTCATTACTCACAAACTGGAGGCTGCAGTCTATGCCAGGGTTCGACAGGTGAACGCTTAATCTCAATCTTACCGCTTTTTCTTCTTCTAATATTCCCAGTACTTCACTATTCCTCTACTACTCCCATGTTGTATAAACCTGGAACTCTAAACCCTCATGTAGGTCCTGGAACATAACAATTTACCAGTAAATTGTTTTAAAAAATCTATCTTACCGCTTTTTCTTCTACTGCTGTTTTTTTCAGTACTTCACTACTCTACTACTTATCCCTTGTTCAACTTCAATTCAAAGTTTATTCAACACTCTTCATAAAATCATTTAAAACATACAAATACAGAATGGAATGATAAAACAAACAAGAACAAGATAGTGATGAAAATTTCAATGGCAATTTATGAGAGCATTTGGGATCGGCAGAAAGGAAGGATTCCTTATATGAAAGCCTACCCCTAAACACACAAATGCAGGACAACAACAAAATACCCCAAAAAAGAACCTACTATCATGTACAATCAGAGTAACCAGGCACTCTAAACCCTCATGTGGGGCCTGTAACATAAACATTTACTCCCAGTTAATTGTAAAATACCTCTTTTATCTCTTGATTAATTGAGTTTCACAATGAGTTGTAAGTTGAAGTTTTAATTTGGCAATGCAGAGTTAAATTTATCATCTCTATTTCTGTTCACAAATTGGCAATTCCTAAATTTTGTTAGATGCTGCTTGAAAGTATCAGCCTGCATGGTGATGTAGATATACAGTAGGCTTGCGGATGCACCATGCAGAGATGCCAACCGTTACGGTTTCGCCGTATTTGTTACGGTTTTAATGCTCTTGTTACGGCGTTACGGTAAACAATCAAAAGGTTACGGGAAACGATAAATAAAAGTACATTATAGCGAATGCCGCCTTATCACATAGTCTCCGTACACAGCACTGCATGTTGCACGCAATTACTCATAAGTTCACTGAATTTGACTACACTGGATAGGCATTTTTCACGCACATGGTCCGTCCGCCGCCATCTTGTTTAATTCCGAAACAACACGGCCGCCGTCATTACTGTTTTGATTCTAGTATACGTGCGGTCATGCATTTTGGGGGGAGCATGGTGGTGGATGATCGTGCGCGCGGCGCCCGCCCGCAATACCCATTCAAAGTATAGTAGCGAAGACTTCGGTGATTCAGCGGGCGCATTGCAAGTGCGGTATACGGTGTGTTGTTGTTCATGAACGCCGGGCCTAGCGGCCTGGGCTGGTGTGTCTGTGGTAGTGGTGAGTGTACGTGTGCGTGTGTAGGATACGAGTTCTGCCATTTGACTGTGGATTTGAATTTGCTGTTCGACGCTTGAACGAGGTGTTTTCTTCCTGAATATTATCATGGATTCACTCAAAAGAGCAAGTACCAAAGGAGGAAATCCTTTGACTGCAAACAGTTATAAAAAAAAAAATTATGCACATCTTTATTTTGGACTTAAAAATGGTAGGTTCGAAATGCAGTATGATTGGGTGTTTGTGTACGTTCTCCGCGAAAATTATGCTGCGGTGTCTTGCGTTACGGAAAGACCCCCATTTGTTACGGACAAATGTGGTAAATGTTACTGACAGCCATCCTATAGGGTTGGCATCTCTGCACCATGTGATAGAGAGGGATGATGGAGGAGTCCTTAATTTTGTTGTTGTTGTAATTTTCAATCCAGCTATTTCATTTGATACTCTTTAATATTTTTTTAGCTATGAAAGAGTGGATAATACAAATATACCAGATTTGATGCATACCGTCTTTCTGAAGTGCCTCAATACAAATTATTTCATTCACCTATTAAGAATAATTGTATTTCATTAGTCAGAATGCAAACTGGATATACTCTGTTTTGTAAGGTAGGGCCAGCCATAATGTTTGTCCTACCTAGCAACAAATACTGTATGCAATTCACATTCTGACTATTGAGATATAATAATATGTAACAGGTGAATGAAATAATTTGTATTAAGGCACTTCACAAAGACCTTTGCATTAAATTTGGTTAAAAATGGCCTTTTGGAAGGGGAAAAAGTTGATTCATTTAGACCTTTAGAAAACTCTGATGAAGTTCTGTGGGTTAACTATAATTATTTGCTTTCTTTTTGTGTATGTGTGAATAGAACATAGAAATGATGGATTCTAGTCAGCGCACCCAAGTCATGTTGAGTAAGCTCCAATCAGGAATGCTGAAGGGAACCAAATCAATCATCTTTGCTAATGATCGGAAGACTGCTGCAGAACTTATGAAGGTAATCTCAAGGTCATTGTCAATGTAGTTTTGTCTGTCAATGACATTGCCATTTTCTATGTGAATGTCCCATTTTTTGTTGGTGAAAACTTGTACACCTAGGTACATGTAGAAGGTCTATTCCATGAAGAGATGTCACAGGTAGAAGAGAAATGACTAAATTTGAATGAATCACACACGTGTAATCAAGATTTTTCTTCAAAGTGAATGTTTACTTTGTAAACCAGTGAGATATTAACATTTAACAACACTGAGCATATGAACTATTATAATGTATGCATGTATTGATATGATTCTTTCAATTTTTAATATCAGATTTTTAATTTTTTTAAGTATAAGTTGCAAAATGTGCTGAACAGTAGACTCTCACTGAGAGCTCTGGCAGTGCAATCAAGTGGTTCACTACAACTGATTACAAAACAGGCAATAAAAAGGAACAAACTAATCCCAATACAAAATAAAAGCAAAAACAAAATTATGTCACATCAAGGAGGAATCCATGTATTTTGCATAAAAGTTTGAGTCCTTTATCTGGAATGTGTCTTACACGGGCAGGGAGAGAGTTCCATAGACGGACAGCAGTTGGAATAAAACTCTGTCTGTTTTCTTGTTTCTTTTCATAGATTCTGACCTCAGCGTCCATCTACACCTTACTAGCAACAGACGACATGCCAAGTGACAGCATTGAGAGAATCAAGAAAGAATGGTACACTCATCATAGACCGGACTCAATACCAATCCTAGGTAAGTTCTCACGATTCAAGTGTCTTCTTCTTTCAGTCAGGTGATGCTAGCTGCGCTGCTGGGGCCATTACATATTTATGCGACCCTTCTCTGTCTACTGTTGCTCTGACAGCTTTTTCCCCTGTCCATACATGGATTTTTTTTTCAACCAGGAAATAGCAGGTCTGCCTCTTCTTCACCTGGCTTCTACTGGCTTCCACTACAAGTGTACCATTGAATAATACTTCCTCATTTAAGTTTGGTCTATGTTTATCTTATGTTCTTGATTTTCTTAAATCTACTACTGTTGTAATTAAATAGCAGTGTTTAATAGATGCCTTGAATGCTTGGAGGACCTTATTTGCAACCAGTAGGATAGTATATTAGACTAGAAGATTTATCAACGTATAACACTTTGTATGTTTGATATAGTCACTAATTAGGGGGACTCATGAAAATGCTGGGTAAAAGTCAATTTGTCAAAATTCAATGTAATCTTTGTGATTAATCATTAACCTTATAAACAATAAGATGTGTTTTATTTCCCTTTTAATTTCAATTCTTTTGTGATATAGTGATGACTGATGGTGCAATCAACGATGTTGAGATAACGGATGCCATGTATATCATCCATTATGATTTCCCTTCTAACAAGGCTCATTATGGAAAGAGAATGGGATGTATGATCAGACACTTTGAATCACAACTCAAAGAGGTGAGCTTTTATTTCTAACCCTAACCCGTCTAACAAGGCTCGTTATGGAAAGAGAATGGGATGTATGATCAGACACTTTGAATCACAACTCAAAGAGGTTAGCTTTTATTTCTAACCCTAGCCCTGACCCATCTAACAAGGTTCATTATGGAAAGAGAATGGGATGTATGATCAGACACTTTGAATCACAACTCAAAGAGGTTAGCTTTCATTTCTAACCCTAGCCCTAACCCATCTAACAAGGTTCATTATGGAAAGAGAATGGGATGTATGATCAGACACTTTGAATCACAACTCAAAGAGGTTAGCTTTTATTTCTAACCCTAGCCCTAACCCATCTAACAAGGCTCATTATGGAAAGAGAATGGGATGTATGATCAGACACTTTGAATCACAACTCAAAGAGGTTAGCTTTTATTTCTAACCCTAGCCCTAACCCATCTAACAAGGTTCATTATGGAAAGAGAATGGGATGTATGATCAGACACTTTGAATCTCAACTCAAAGAGGTAAGCTTTTATTTTTGGAAATGTATGTCTTTTGGGTCGATGTGGGTTGTTTGTTTACTCTAGATGCTCAGGAGAGAAACAAAAGTTAATAATATTTTGGTAGACGACAAACATGAGAGTTGTCCATGACGATGTTACAATCCACTGGCTAAATTGTCAATTTGATATTGGCTGAGATGTAGTGATTTCAAACATCCCTAACTTTCCTATCGGTCCGATTTATTTCAAACTTTCACCACTATGTTACTTTTATTTTCCTGCTTTCATACAAATGAATTCATAAAATCATTTCTGATCGATTCCACACCATTTCTTTCACAATGCAATCGACTGACCAGAACTTAAATTTATCTTAAAAATGAGGCAAAATTGTCTCAAAATGTTATTCTAATGCAACAAAATCTTACAGAATATGCAAGAATGTTAATAGAGAATACCTGCAAAAGGACTTTGATAGAAAAAGTTAGCAGCCACATTATATGTTTAAAATGACGATTGGATGTTAACCATGCAGTCCCATACTTGAATGTGCATGTCTGTGTTAAGTTTCTCTAGACAAGTAGTATCCTCATCAAAAGTTAAGCCTACCTTTATAACATTTGAATGTTGGTAATTTTGAAGCGTTAATAAAGGAGGCTCATCAAAAATGTAATGTAGCTAAGCTTGGCTGGTATGAAACTAGTTAGAATAAACGTACATGTAGATTTAATCATCTCCTAAAGCTTAAGTGATTATATAATGTGTCATTAGCTAGTTAGTTTCTCTCTAATCTCGTTGATACAGAAGAAGAACTCAAGCTGTCAGTCTCTAAGCTTTGTGAGTGCAGACAACATTCATGCATTATCTCACATGTCTGATATACTCTTCCGTTCTGGACAACCTTTGCCTTCATCAATCACCCATGAACAGGTGGAACAGGTAAGATTACTCTAGACTCATTCCATATAGAAACAAAGAATATACCTTGTCTCTATCAAATCAGAGCAGGATTTGTTTAAATAAAAATATTAGTTATATATCTGTATATAGATCAAGTATGTATACTTACAAGTCACTTTTATGTTGATTTAGAGGGTATTTAAACTTCCAAAATCCTTTTACAGACATAATATTTGAAGCTCATATTTTTAATATAGTATAACAAGATATAACTTCTAATATTAAAAACATTTTTAGTGATTGGTACGCTTTAATTTTTCAAAAATATATGGAAATACATACTGTGATTATATGATCTATTGATATGAATGATTAATATTTTGTGTATATGTAAGAATTCTCATCAACTTTTTTCTGCCAATAACAATTCTGCCAATGACAATCAAATCTCTCCTATATTCACTACATGTCAGGCCAAAGAAGAACGAAGGAAGAACAAACCTATGTGTAATCAGCTCAAAGCCTTTGGTGTTTGTAGGTAAGATCAGCATATTGCCTGGCATGGAAATGAAGAGATTCCATTTTTTGTTTGTAATGCGTGGTTGCCTGAATGTTAACAATTAAGGCTATTCTTCAGCTTGCATAACTCATCTAACTGCTAAGGTTTTAATGAGATGACCAATTTAAGCACCATACATACTAATCAAACTGTTCTTGCGGTTTTGTTTAAAGTTATTTAGATATTTGTCGTTTTTTTCTTCTAATATTTCTCTCAACAAAGAATGCATTGACTTATACAATTTATAAAATTATGTGTTAGGCAAAATAAATGCCTGGTCACATGTACACTCTCAACCAATCATTTGATTAGGATCTGCTTCATCATCTTTTGGGACTTGCTAATAATTAGAAGAACTAAATGATTTTACTGGAATTGTCTGAGTAGCTGTGCACATGAAAAAAGTTGGATGTTTGACATGACTGTGCATTGATCATGAGTAAATATGATTGTTATCTGACCATTAGGAGCAGGATGCATTGTGGGGATCGACATGAAGTGTTTTCAGACGTGGATGAACCAGGAACCCATCCAGATTACATTGACCTTCCCAAGCAAGGCACTGTCAAGGTATGTGTGCTCTTTAATATCAAAGTGTTATATTAGATGACTCTTACGGATACAAAGCTCTGATTGGCTCACAGCTTGTGCGATATCGATTGCGAGGATCGTAATGAGCATCTTATTACTCCTGGTCATTTTTTTAATGGTCATACCGTCAAATGAATATATATGTACGTCATACCGTATTCATGCAACCCTGCACATACCCTTTTCATCATCTTAGCCGCACACATTTGACGCATAATGTTAGATAGCTCTAGAAAAAACAAGGCATGAGATTGCAAACTTTGTATTCATGTGAGGCGTACTAAAGAGAGACTTTTGTTAAGACCTGAGGTTTGTGTTTGGTATGATTCAGGTAAACAGTTCAGTCAAGTACTTTAGAGCTAATCCTAGGTTGAGATGAGCACAAACAGGTAACCAGTGTAATTTCTTAAATATAAGAGAATTCTAATTTCGTTGACGAAACTGTTGATGATGGTTATGACCCGACTGGAGATGCCGGTATCAGGATGAACCTGTGTTGGGACCATAGGGTTAGAATTTGGGATATAAAGTGAATAAACTGAGTTTTGACTTCTTTCTTTTGCCTCCCTATAGCTGATTGTGACTTACATAGTGAATGCCTCCCACTGTTATGTGCGTCTACTGGCCCATCGACTTTCTCCTGATCACAAGGTCGTTTCCATGACAACAGACTATGTCAAATTGACTGTAGAACTGCAGGAATGGTACACTGACCCGGTCAACATCATAGGTCAGCGACCTCTTCAGAAGGATAATTTGTGTGGCTACAAGGACCAGGCAGGATGCTACTCTAGAGTTAGAGTAGAGGCTTTGGTTTCCAAGGAAACCGTTGACTCGCCTGGCATTGCTAACGTAAGTCAGATCTACTATGTGGTTTCTGTTCTATGGATGGCAATAACAAACCCTTAGGAATTTTTTATTTTATGTGATTCATACTCTTTTATGCATGTAAATAAGCAGCTTATCATGAGACAATCAAGAATACAAGGAGTATAGTTCTTTATCAGATGGGCATGAAAGTGATCTTCTAATCATTTTATATGCATTAGCCCTTGACTGATGGGTTTCTGTAAATCATAGACCAGCATTCATTCTCTTAACAGGTATACTTTGTAGACAGAGGAGGGAGAGAGAGAGTTGGAATTGACAAGTTACTCAAGCTACCTGATGGTCTACGTCAAATCAAGTATCAGGTATTTATCATCTTATATCTGCGACAGGAGCAGAGCACATTCCATCTCTTTAAAACCATTAATATTAGTAATTGCACTATATACCAATTTATTGTGCAATGTTAAGAGAATGCAAACTAATACAAAGATTCATTTTGTGCCCATAATATAAACATTTATAATTTTACTATGATTTAAAACACCATCTATATGCTTTTTTTTAAAGAAAAATGTTTTGAGGGCAGATGGCATTATAAAGGGAAAATTTAGCAGAAAAAAACATCCAAGAACACAATATATGTCTTGTAGGAAATATATAAAAAAAAAATTATTTGTTAAAGTTAAAAAAATAATCCTTTTACCTTGTATATGTTTATTTCCAAATATTTATAATGTTTCAAGCAGTTGCAAGATGGTTCTTTGCTACAAAATCCATCATTTCCAATAGTTGTCCTATAATAATCATATTTGATATGCACACAGAACCTTGGAAGATGTTGTGATTAATAAAGAATAATTCTACCCGATATAACAAATTAATCATTCATTTTTATAAAGCCTTCTTAGGTTAAATTAAACATCTTTTAGATATTTAGAAAAGCATTATGAATTAGGCAGTGTTCTTAGTGAGTAGTACTATCTGTAGTCCTTTAAGAATATGAATTCTGCCTTCTTTTGATTGTTTAGTCTGTTTAGCAAATAGTGCACATTGAAATAAAGCATAAAGCTTTCTCTAGCTATCCATAAACACCATTCTTATTAACATATGTGATTATCTTGCTGCTCTTAACATTGGGCATATCATGTTTTAAATGAAGAAATAATAGGTTCAGAATGGAAAGAAGTAATTATTTATGATTAATTTCAGGCAGTGGAGGTGTTTGTGAGTCGTGTGAAGCCTACCGACAAGGACTATTCCTGGAACCCTCGGGCGGATAACTACATGTATGACTTCTTGAGTAACAAGGAACTAGATGGAAAGATCGTGCTCAGGTAAGCACAGTCACACAGTTTCTCTCTACTCACTATCGCATGGTACTGGAGCCTGAGTTGGGCACTGTTACTGCTTTTGAGTAGAAAAAAAATTATTTGAAATGCTTGTATGATGTAAGGCTATTGATTGCAGCTTGTTAGTGTAAATGTTCATTGTTTTCTAACATCAAAGGATTTTTTAGACTCTTTAAACAAAAATATATTTAGAGTACACTTATGGATAAACTTTGAAGTGCTCTGAATCGCAAACTATACCATTCTAAAACCTATTGTTTCTATGTGATTTCTTCTTTCTCTCTCTCTCTCTCTCTCTCTTTCTTTCTTTGGTACATTTTTCAAATGCTCTTATTGCAAAGTTGAGCTTTCAAGATCCTATTGTTTTCACAATGCTTTCTTGCTTATTAATATATGCAGTGTTTAAGTATTTAAGGAAAATAAAAAACCTCAAATTTGCATTAAATATTGTTAACCGTATTAGAGATTTCGATTGCATATTATGCAGTGTTTTTAACACCATAGAAACCCTACCTACCAAGGTATTGTAAGTACAATATGTATCCAGGGTTGCATTTAGGAATTAGACTGATGCAAGAAATTGACCTGTAAGCTGTTATTAAGCATATATCGTGCTATCTGGTTTCATGTATTATTCTCATTTGGTTTTCTATTTCTTCTATTTTGTTTATAGCCTTGGTAACAGTCTATGGTTGGATCCTTTAGTTGAACGATGTCATCTTGAAGAGACCAAGTCATCTGTAGAGATACATACCAGGAGAGAGATGATCAAACAAGGATTTGCTGTGGATAATCCTGATGTAAGATTTGTACAAATTGTTTTAGAATAAGCTTTTTAAATGTACCCTTGTATTCCTTGTTTATATGAGAATGCATGCTTACATAGGTTGATAGGATGTAGGAATGCTGAGCAGTCACTGAATTGACCTTCACCTTCTTCAATTCAAACTTCCCATTGATGAGAGGATTCCCAACCTCATCTTATACTTATGTGTCTTTTTAATCCTCAGTATAAATCTAACACATGTTGGTACTAGGGTTGATTTAAAAAATGCAATAGCAGGCATTGCCTCACATCCCAAATTGTAATAATTCAAAATTGATTTAATGTTAGAATCAACATTGTCCAAATTGTAGCTCTTTGGTATTGATGCCCAATAGTTGTTATTTCATTCAAATATTTTTCTCTTTTTGTTGTTGAAAGGCAATGTCAACCTAACATTTTGGACATTCAAATACCTTGGTATTCAGATCAGAAGTTTCTAAAAATACAACTTGGATCATCAAATCAATTTATTGACATTTGTTATTAAAATAGACTTGGAGAAGGTTGAAACACCTTGGTATTGATAGCCAATGTTTCAAGAAGAACAACTCACAAAGGATACTCATTATTTCATTAAACAGTTAGTTGACATTTCTTTTAGTTGCCATGAATTTGGCTTTTAGATGGTGAAGTTTTGCTCTTGGGAGTATTCTAACAATACTTTACTGTGCATTGTTTTATCTTCTTGCAGCACATCACAAACTTAGTGGAGTTATGCAAGGGGAAGATGAACCTACCCAAAGATACCCCATTGACACAAGTCAATCAAAGGTATGTGGTTACTGCTATGACAGGGTTAATCTGTCTTTTCTTTTACTTTTTCTCATTTCCAATTTAATTATGAATTGATTACAGTATGTCACAGTTCTTTAGATAATTATATGTACAATTATTTTGTGTAAGAACATGATGTCTCGAACACCCAGGTGTTAAAATGGATACCCGGTAGGGTGCGACCGTCATTGTTGGTCAAACAGTTTTTGAGCATCAAGTCACGCCTGGCTGGAATGCTCCCCAGGGAGTGGAGAATGTGCACACAGTGTGTGCGGGCAAGCACCGAATCCAATTACCGGGGTAATAGTATATCTGTAAAGCACTTAGATACGTCCGAGATGCATTAAGAGCTATATGAAAGCGGAGTATTATTATTATTATTTGCACTGTATTTTTGTTTTTTATCTGAAAAGGTAAGAAACAAACAAAGGGACAACAATAATAATGATAATAATAAGAATATGTCTTGTTTACCCACGGTAGCCTCATCAGTATTCATACTGTTCTCCCTGAGGGCCCTGCAGTCATATTATTACAATCATAACATTAACAAAATGAAATGCTAAGGCATTTAGGAGTCTTTTATACTCCAGTCACAGTACCTAAAGCAGTGTAATGATATTTTTAAGATTGTAAACTTTGTGTTTGTTTGTTTGTTTCTCAGTGTGAAGCTACCACCACCTGCTCGGCTGAATGAGGATGTAGCAAACCAGGTGTATCTATCAGCGATAGAGAACCCTCATCACATCTATGTACAACCAGTCAAATCAAACTACAGGTATGATCAAAGCTCTTGTTAAAACTATACCCCACCACTATAACACAGGCACCAATGTAAATCAGGTGGGGTATCACGACCCCACAGTCGAATCAAACTACAGGTATGATCATTACTATCAAAACTATACCCCACCACTATAACACATGAACCAATGCAAATCAGGTGGGGCATCATGACCCCACTTTCATTTCTCTTGTTAAAACTTTTGACAAAGCCACTATACCCCACCACTATAACACAGGCACCAATCTAAATCAGGTGGGGTATCACGACCCCACAGTAAAATCAAACTACAGGTATGATCAAAGCTCTCGTTAAAACTATACCCCACCACTATAACACAGGCACCAATGTAAATCAGGTGGGGTATCATGACCCCACAGTCGAATCAAACTACAGGTATGTATGATGGTCAAGGCATTCAACCCAATCAATACTCACAACAACTCACTCCTAGATCATAATCAAATTTAAACTCGGTCAGTTGGGATTCCTTTTTCTCAGCCTATCCCAAGTTTTTTCATGTAAAAGCATGCAATAGTTTCCAGTACTATACACAATTTTTCAGGGGGAAGTCAACCCTAATATTTAGTTGGTTTTTAATAGTAGAAGCAGAAAATGAGAGAAACTGATCTGTGAAAGTTTGAGCAAAATCCGATAAAGAATAAGATAATTATTAATGTTAGTAATTGTATTCTATGGAATACAAATTGGCAACCTTGTGACGTATCTTGCACAGTCTTCTGAAATGTCATTAAACTTTCAGTTTCTTAGTTATTGATGACGGAATAGATTTGCTTCATTCAGGGGTTGTATAGAACCAAATTTGCAATAATTATAAGTAGGTTGCATATATGACGGAACATTTTCTTATCAAGGGAAAACAAGGGAACCTCGCAAGATACGTCACAGAGTAATAAAAGGAATTTGACAATTTTGTGTGTGTCTGTTGCGTGTGTGTGTGTAGGCTTTACTAGAATTGTAATTGGGATAACTAGAGTAATATATCTCTTATAGGACTTCCATATTATTTATTAATTTTCTTGTATTAAGAGTTGTATCAAATGGCAATGCTGCGAGGAGTTGTTTGTTGTGATATTCATCTTTTTTTAGGTTAGAGAACCTAATGCAGAATCTGAATCGCAAGATGGCTGACTACCAACCAACAGGAGAGTGCCAGGTTGCTCTAGGAGAGCTGTGCATTGCAAAATGTAGTATTGATGACAGGTAAAGATACGAAAGTCATATTATGTTACCATTGTGTATGTTTACAGCTCAGCTACAGTCGGGGTACTAAAACGATACTTGTATTAAGCGCAGTAGAGTATATTCATATAGTAAATGCGCTATGTAAATGGACCTATTATTTACCTGTACCTACAAGTTGTGTTACATGCATTTCACATCTTCTATCTTAAGTACCATTTGTTATTCAAGTGTTAAACATATAACATTGTCTGTTCACAGCCAGGAGGACATTAACCCATTGCTAAAGTACATGAGTTAATGCCCTTCTGGCTCCAAACAGATAATATGCTCATATTGCTTCTATTGCAGTCTTTTGCAGTATGCTTAAAATCATATATGTCTGTGTACTAATATATGCGCACAGTCGAGTTTTGTTTTAAGTAGATCTGCGTGTTTATACATGGGATTTAATACAATGAATTTAAAAAATGGTAATTGCAAACTATATTTTAAATGTGTGTTTGTTTGTTTTACCTGATTGCTTGTAAGTAAGCAACCAGAGGACCGACAGCTTTTATTCCTCTCCAAAGGACTTGGTAGTGAGGATAAATGACCTACTGGAGGAGTCTGGCACATCGACCTGGTTTCGAACCCAGGAACTCCCGGTTACAAGACCACTGCTCTTCCACAGCCATCGGTCCTCCATACAGTTAATGATAAGAGTTCATTTGTCTTTTGTACGCAGATGGTACCGAGGTCGTGTTCTGGATGAGAAGGATGATGAGAGAGACGTCTTCTTTATGGACCATGGTGATATGGAGTGGGTTCAGAAGGGCTTTGTGTGCCCTCTACCTCAGGAATTCACAGATGTAAGCAACTCTTTCATTGGGCAGATATTTAGCAGCATCTCATGGAGTGTAGTTTCTTTATACGTGTTAGTAAAGATAGTAGTGGGCTCTCATGGGGAAGTCAACACCGTTTGGGTGTTTACCCAGTAACAGGTGTTGTCAATCACCAGGGTTAGCCTTCAGTTTTATGACCACCAGGCCAAATGTAATGCTCTGCATTTTCAACCAATCGCCCTATATGGAAAAGTCAATATCTTTACATTTCCCTCAGCCGGAGACACTGAAAGACTGGGGGTATTTCTTGATGGGACCACAGGTTTGCTGTGTGTATGTGACTTGTACACCCATTTATGGTATTTCCACCAAGTCTGGTGTCAGCGAATCATGACCTACTGCACAAGTCATGGAAAATGACTATCATCTCCCTTTAAGACTTTTGGCACCATAATAGTCAAGTAAGAAATAAAATGAAAGACACGACTGGGAGGCATAGAGCTTTGTAACTTTTCTGGTATTTAGGTAAATTAAATACATTTTGTTAGTAACTTTTATGTCATGTGTTTGAAATCAAAGTTTGGTTGTATGAACAGGCTTCATAAGAGAGAATTTGTTCCGTCCTTTACTTTGAATTGTTCAAATTCATTCTAGTTTGTCTATATTCAGTCCTACAAATTCCTTTGCAAAGAATTTGCCCACGTGACGCTACTTCTGACTACAATTCTAAGCAAAGGAAAGGTTTTGTTTTTTCTTTTATTGTAAAACTGGTTCAAAGACTTTGGAATCATATATCATAGACTACTATTTATATCATTGACTTCTGTTTGTATCAAGATGAACAACTGACAAACCCTTCATGGTTGAACTTTTATGGTATTTGTGATACATCTTTGTAAACTAACAACAGGTTTTTTGTTTGTTGTTGTTGTGTCTTACTTTTTTTTAGTTTATTTTTTTGTGTGTTTTGTTTTTATAGCTTGGCCCTCAAGCGATTCAATGTAGCTTAGAAGCTATTGAACCAGTAGCTTATCAGGAGACATGGGATGACAAGACTACTGAAGAGCTGTGGAATATGTGTGTAGGTGAAACCACTAAGGTGTCTGTTACAGTCGAGGTAAGACCTTACTTTATAGTTGATCAACTGGGTTCAAGTTATAGCTACCTCCCCCTTGAATAACTACTGCCCCCCTCCCACCAAGATGACTATCCCCTGCACAACTACCCCCATGCTTTAAAAAAAAAAAAAAAAAAATACAAAACAAAATAAAAAGCATCTACCAGGCTATTAAAGTACTTTAATGATGCAGTATACTGCTGGAAAAAAAGCCACAAGGTTTTTTTCATGTGTAAATGAATTGCAACTGCATGCGATAAAGGTCCTATTAGTTAATTGTCTAAGGAGGGTTTTTTTTTGCAAGGGGGGTAGTTGTCCACAGGGATATTAATTATCCTCTGTGGTATTCATTTGGGGAGGGGTTGGGTGGGGTGACAAACAAGAGGGTTGTTGTCCTAGAATTGAATGTTGACAAATTTTCCATGATGTGTATTTCAATATCACTTCTCTTCTATGACTCTAGCCAGCATTGTCTAACTTTTATTGCGCCTAGTGCATGTAGGTAGAGTAGTGAGCTGTTAGATAGAACTGATAAATTGGTATACCCTAAGATTTTCTCAAGTTGACAGCCTTACTATTTCTTGTAACATACCAAATAAAAAAAAATGATGTTTTCCATGATCAATTTGATTTACTTTTCTTTTCTTTATTTTTTGTAATTTATGGGATGGCAAATAATTTAATTCCTTCTAACTTCACAAGGTATGTTTAATATTATCACTAGGTCCAGAGCACTGCACTGTGTGATAGGACCGGTGGCTATCGATACAAGGTGAACATGTACAATGAAATGGGAGGAGAAAAGATCCTCGTTAGCAAGAGACTGATTGATGCTGGTCTAGCTCAACCAACTCAACATTTCATGAAGGTAAGCAAAGTGATATCACTCCTAAATCTTATGTTATTTATACTTAAAGTAGACCTCTCTTACTTTATAAGTGATGCCGGTCTCGGACTCAGACTAAGATGGGGTTGACTCGGACACAAGTTACATTAGCAACTGGATATGTTACTGCTAAATATTCAAAGTGCTACCATTTATTCATTTTGTACAATAAATTCATCAGTCACATCATTCTTTCCACTGCAGTTATTCATATAGACATATTTTAACATTAGATTGTGAATAAACCTTATGTTTGAATATTAGATGATGTTCCCGATTGAAACCAGTCCCTCAGAAGACATTCAGCAACTCAACAAACTATGTGCACAGCTCTATCTAGTCAAGGTAAGTCAAAGGGTAGTCACTCAACACCTCATCAGGAAGTATGTCATTGCCATGGTATCTTAGACTTCTAGTAATCCGTACATACAAGTGAATGCTATTTTTGCTGGAAAAACTAGTGAAACTTCTCTTAATCAGAGGAGCTTGTATGTGTTCTGACAGACATGTAAGGCATAAACATGTAGATTATACAGATCACGTCACTCTTTATTTGCAACTTGATAATCCTTCCGAGCTATGAGATGATGAAGGATTTGATACTTGGGATGATATCTTAGAAGGTTTGTAGGAAGTAGTACAATGTAGCAGAATTGGCACTGCTATCGTAGAATGACTGTCTCTCTTCTCACCCTTCATTTGGCTGTGAAAAATGAAAACCTGTTGTTGTCATCAGACCAAGTGTTTTGAGGTAGAGAAATCTTCCCTTCTTCTCATTAGCTTCCAGTAGAAGGGTCTCCTCAGGGTTTCACTCTTTATAATCCACACAAATTATCTCCCTGTACCACAATGTATTTATCATGAGATAGATATACAGAAGGCTTTAAGATCATTTAATTGAAGCTAAGTTATGTAAATTACGTTTGAGATCTGTGTATATGGCTGATATATGAACGCACCGTTATCGTATCCCTTGCCACATTCATTGTGTACTTCAATCATAGTGCTAACATTGATGACTGATAAACACAATATGTTTGATGACTTCCTTACAGAGCTCAAAAGGTCAGGTCGGATTAGTCACCAGAATAGATGAACTCATGTCAAGTGAAAGGTAACTCAAAACTGTGTTTTATATCATCATTAATCAGTGAATAGGTGCCAAGATTTGTAGCATGATACAATTTATAGAATGATACAAATTACACAAAATGTGTAATAACAAGACAATCATGAGTCACTGCAGATATTGAATGTGTTAATTTTGTAGTACACAATGTGGTAGGATATAAGAAATTAAATTTTTTAAAGGAAAATAATCATTGAATTCGTTCACCTATTTAAAGGTACTTTTCTGTTCACAATAGCTCTTTTAGGATTTAAAAGTGTGATTTTTTCCTAGTGGTTTTTAAGTATTTTATTATCCTACCTTCAGAGCTCGTTTCAGTTTATTGGAGCTACTTTGGAGTTATCCAGAGCTTAATCGTTCACAGCTTCCAGGTATTTTTTCCTGCTGGATCGTTTTCTACGTTCTCTGGGCAAGATTCTGCCATTCTGGCAGTTGTGCAGAAATTATGTTTTATTTTTGTTATTCTTTCCAATTATTAATTAGTATTAAATAAATTTGTCTGATTGTATTGTAGTGACAAGACAACTCTGCTTGAGGGTGGATGTATCAGAGCATTATGTCAGGTATTGTGCAATGGAAAACTGAAAGAGAATACCAAAGAACTCCTGGTGCTAAGTCTACTAAGAGTCTCATCTGAATCTCCTAGGTATTGTATTTCAAATTATCACAGAACACATAATTTCTTTTGTTGATGGTAATTTTTTGTTGCTAAATAATATCTTACTTTGTCATGTGATGTGCTACCAGATCATGATAGGTAGAAAGTAACTTCAGTCATTACTTGTATTTCTAAAAGGTTCAGTTTAATTTAGTTTCTCTACATTTGTTTTTATCATAAGCTATCAAAAATTGACAAATGTTCATTAGAAATGGAAAAAGTGAGCCATTCTAAAATTAATTTAAAAGTGATCATTGACGATTGAGATCTTTTCAAACACTACTAAATAGTCATTAAACTATGAACATGGAATGTGTGTGTGTTTTTCCCCCTTTTTTTATTTGTTTTGAGCAAGACACACTACAAATTCTGTAAATTGTGTGGATACTTTTGTACATGATTTATAAAATATGAAATTATCTTTTATTTCAGAATATGTCATGAGATAGCAAATGAAGGAGGATTGAAAAGCATCCATAATGCTCTCATGAAGGTTAGTTTCAATTATTATCATCTTATGCCTAGATCATTCCCCATGCAATCTGTTTTTGTCCATTAGATTAAAATAGTAAACATCCAGGCCTGATAAAAACCCGATTTAAATCGGTTTCCCGATTTTTTTTATTTTTCCCGATTTTTTCCCGATTTTTTTTTTCTTCCCGATTTAAAAAGAAAAAAAAAAAAAAGATTTTTTTTTTTTTTTTTTTTTTTTTTTTTTACCAGATTTTTTTTTCTTCCCTTTTTTATCCTGATTTTCCTGATTCCCCCGATTCCCCCCTTATTTTCTCTATTCTTCCCTATTTTGCCCTATTTTTTTCTCCCAATTTTCTTAATCGAAAGGGGGGAATGTTGTTAGATGCCGTTTTTTCCCCGCGAATCGCCTTTTTTTTTTTTTACTTAAGGGGGGCGTGGTTGAGGGGAAAACAAAAAACCTATTTTTTTTTTAGTGCTCACTATCACCCCTGACATCTGAATGCACATTAAAGTGTACCAGTCACCTAAAATGTAACTTTTCTACAGCTTGAATCCGATGACCGGGGTAATAATACATCTGTAAAGCGCTTAGGCAGATCGATGTATTGAGTGCTAAATAAACACAGAATATTATTATTATTATTATTAGTGTTTACTATATTACTGTATGTAAATAATGTATTTTGTTATTCTTCCCTCTCTATGCATCTAGAGTATGAAGTATTTTCCTCTCTTACATATACCGGTATTCATCAAAGTGCACTATTACAATAGACTCATAAGACGTATTTGTTGATACGTAGGTGTAACACAATACTATGTTTTGTCTTAAATGTGTTAAACATAATACAAAAGGCTTTTTTTTCCTCCTACATGTCTTCCTCTTAGATTTAACACAATATTTACAATGATGTCAATATTTGTATTGCCCAGAGACTTTACATTGTCATTTTTTACCTGTTTTTGTTTTATTTCCAGACATCTGATGGAGGCTTAAAGGAGAATATCACCTCCTTCATCCAAGAAATCGCAACAGAGAAAAGGTGAGGTGAATTGTTTTGTAAAGAGGCCATTAAAAAGAGAAAGATATTGGGATGTTTTTCATTTTCCTATTACTATTAACACTGTTTTTTGGACTGTAATGTATTTCTTACAATAGTCTGTCCACCATTTTAGTCCTACTCTTCATAGTGAGTATTTTTTTCCCCATCTTATTTGTTTAAATCCCAACATGGCATCCAAAATCTATAATGGTACAGGAACCATGTAATGTATTTTGACTTGTTAGTCATTTAATTCAACATGGGGAAGAGGCAGAATTGAAATGTTGTGTCTTTAGATCCAAAACATGAATCGACATGTGCTCAACAGAAGAAGAAAAAATAGGACTCTTCCTTGAGGATACAGAAACTAGACAGTTGACAGGTAAAATGGAAGATGAAAATGTGGGAAGAACCATCTATCATCTATAAAGTGTGGATACATAATGATAACAGTCACAAATATTTCAATGAACGATATTGATTTTAAACTAATGTACAAAAATGTGAAATTGTGTTTGTTTCACCTTCTTCAATTACAGGACATTATTAATGTTCATATACTTATTTTCTTCCAGGACCAGAGACCTGTTCTTAGCTGCTGGAGGTATCACAATCCTACATCACCTGCTAGACTTGAACAACAGCAGTTTAGTGATTAAGAATGTCTGTGATACGCTGAGAAACATCCTTTTCTACAATGATGTGTAAGAACCTGTTCAATAGTGTTCGGGAACGCTGATATTAGAAGAGCAAAATTCATATTAACTACTCTAATACTGAATACTGATTTTGTCGTTTGAGATGATAACATGCTTTCAAAAAAAGAAATTCTAAACATAAAAGATTTTGGTAGATTAATTAAATAAGAAGAGCTTATTTCTTGGCAAACTTGTAAATCCATTGGAAAAATCTAAGTTGGTATTGTAGATGTAAATGATAGGGTATGACAGTAGTGGTTCCTCCCCCCCCCCCCCCCCCCCCCTTAGGTAGAGGTTTATCCAGAAGGATAGAAAAATAAATCAATAAATTCTCTTTTTGGAGAAGCATTCATTTAATAGTCACATACTATAAAGAGTTCTCCAGATATAAACTATATGCCGATTCCAGTGCTTGTACATTATAGCTACATGTTGAATCGGTGTGGTCCTCAATTATTCATACATGTGAAATTGGAACATGGAAGGTGCGTGAACTGATAAAGCACTGAGTCCTGTGTGACTGGGATCTAGGGCTTGCACAGGAGCTCTAAGGTTCATAGAGGCACTCTGCTGCAATCTGATCTATATTGAAAAGCATTTTCAAACACATTTTATGACTGATAATTAATAAATCATTTTGGTAGAGAACAAATATTAACCTTTTTAAACATGTACAATAATTATTCAAAGCTGTTGGTGTTATATGTTTAAACTCCTTATGGACCACCTTGATTTCATGAAACACTTCCCACTTTATATACTGTATGGTGATTTTCAATAAGCATATATTAATGATTATTGTTGTGTAATTTATACTGCAGTGTCAGGGATAGCTTACCCACAGAAGTCATCTCATCTCTATGTGCTCTCATCAATGACACTGACCATATCGACAGGCTTGCTCATCCACTAGCCGTCCTAGCAGACTTAGCCAAAAACCCAAGGTAGGTGTATGTTGTATAACGTTTCCAGTTCATTTCCAGTTGATTTTGTAAGAGTCCTTATTTGCTTTAATGGGGACCAGTCACAAAAAAGGAAAATTTGTATGCTGGTAGAAGTCATAAAATCACCCCTAAAGATATTTAAATGGTTTAAAGATTAAGAGCACAAGGGGAAAATGTTAATTCATATTAACGCAAACAGAGAATTTAACTTACACAGACAGTGTCTAATCTTCTCACAAATTGCTTTTGCCATTTTTTAGAGGATAATTTTCACTTTATAAATTACAATATCCTTACTTCGTAAACGTTGACAGTGATTGCCTCTGTCCTAGACAGTTGGAGTTACAGACATGATTTGGTAGTTTGTCTGCTTTGTTATCTTGTTAGGAGAATATCTTATGAAACATGTGCTATATTAGCTTCATATGTAGTAGTAGTAGTATGCATAGTGCATACCTATAAGTTAACTAATAGAATAGATAATGGGATAATGGGATGAATGGTTAAAAGCCACAGAGGTTAATTCAGTTGAAAAATGTAGGCTTTAAGTTATTGCCAAAATTTGTGAAGAATGAGCTTCAAACTAAGTTAATTAGTATACGTCAGAGAAAGAAAAATTGCTAAGTGTTTAGAAAGATGTTGCACTTTTAATTGTCATTGGTGGATTAAACATTGATGTTATTATAATTATTTTTTCCTATATAGGAATCGTGATGTGATGCATGAGCATGATGCCTTACTAGCTGCTTGTAATATCATGTGGGCTGTAAGAGATGACAAGGTAACTAATCGATCTATTCTCTATGGACGGGTCAGTGAAATTGTGATTGAAACGTGGGATATGTTTAACTGCTCCTACCCCCCCCCCCCTCCCCACCCCCAAAAATAATAATAATGATAATAATAACAATAATAATAAACAAATTGAATGTTATAAGAAATAAATAACAAATAAATAAATAACTTTTTGTTAGATAGTTGTTGGCAGAAAAAGTACAGAAATGAGAAGTGCACTATGCTTTTTCAAAGCTAGAGCTTTTTTGTTTTGTTTGTTCGCCTTCGTTTTTTTTTTCTTGTTCGGGGAGGGGGCCAGTTGATCAGTTTAGATGAATGAGACGTGACAGTTCACATTACCTAGTTAAAGGTAATACAAAGTTTTGGGAAATTTTGAAAATTGGGTGGATAGTGATCCTTTTCAATTTTGATATATTTGGATGCCCCTGTGGGTGTATTGTAAGCACTAGAAAATTTAGGCCCTAAAACAGTTCTGCTTTCGAGAAAAATTTAATATAAAAATTTACCGGTGCTCCCAGTAAATTTTGATAAATTTTAAATAGCGCCTACGGCCGTACAGTGGTAGCTGCGACCATGAAAATCTCAAAATATGTAGTTGTGATATATAATTTCCGAACGGGAATAGCTAATTGGTCGATTTTAGTCAATAAACATTGTTTTATAGCTTAATTAATATCTTGACCTTGAGAGGGAGCTATACAACGTAAAGAGCTTATTATTTACAATTTCATAACTCTAGACTCGATTTCAACAGCGACAACAATCTCTGAATATTGTAGGATCGAATATGCTTCCAATATGTTCATTTGAACCAAATCCATGACCCCATACCAAAACTTTGTATTACCTTTAACAAAGAATACTGCTTGTAGAGTGTAAGCAGTACATTTTAAATATACAGCAAATCTTTATGCATGAACCCCCTCCTCCCTAACAGACTAACTAGGTTGTTATGTAGAATTATGTGTCCTAAACCTCACAGAATTCTTTGCATCATCATTTATTATAGTACTATTCCAAATGATTATACATGTTGATTTATTAGTAAATATTGTGGGGAAAAAATTATGGTAGGGTGCAGTGAATTCAATCCATCAACAATGCCCGGGGCATCTAAAATGACCATCTATTATGTAGTTCATTGTATTTAGGAAATACAGCACTTCACCATTTATCTTTGTTAGGCTGGGGGGGGGCAGTGTTAGAATGCAGAGACATGGTATTGGAGGTACAGTTTGATGCATGTATTGAACTAGATCTGGTCTTGTAGACTTGTAGAGTGATGTTAGTGAAGTCGCAGATCCATAGTGGGATGTAGTATTTAGAGTACCCATAAGTCTATGAAAACTAGAATTATTGTGTTCACAGTATTATATCTGTTGAATCCCGATATAGACAACCTCATTCTCAAAAAGTCTTGTTGTATACAGTCAAACCTGTCTGTTAAGGCCACCCAAGGGAAGTACAAATAGTGGCCACTGTAGACAGGTTCTTCAACACACATTTCCTTCAAGAGGGAGGCATTATGGATGACCATTATAGAACAGTGGCCTCTATAGAGGGGTTCTTACTGAGACAGGTTTGATGGTATATGATTATGACATTTGTTTTGTATGTATTTATTCAGGTAGTACAGCAGACTGTCTTGTTACTGAAGACCCTAGGGAGTGATTATGAAGCTAGGCAGATGATGCTTGAACATGAAATACTACCTTGTATATCAGGGTGAGTTATAACCATCATGTCATGACTTTTAGTGTTTTACCTTCATTTATTGCACCTTATTATTGTTTGTGTGTCTTAAAATACCCACTGCACTACTTAAATCAAATGGTGCCAAAGCAGTAATACCGTTTATCCCCCATGGTCCCCTTTTTCTTATGTTAATTGAGAGGTGATTTAATGAGATAACCACCTGTCAGTGACCATGCAGAGAGGTCTAATCCCTCTTGGTCAAACTAGTGTAGATATGCTTTAAACTGTATATACATTGCTGCTCATTTCAGTAAGTTATGATTTTCATTTTAAAATGTATTTACAGCTCATTCACTCCATGGTAGACAAAAAGGTATTATATTTTTTGAAAAGATATGAATTCTCCTTTGCTGAAGCAACAAAGGGATCATTTACATACTTTTAATTTTTTGTTTTTCCATTTCTTCTTTAGATGTGTAATGTCACACAACCTCAATAGTCAAACCAAAGATGAATGTCTCCCTCTAATGGACATGATTGACCAGCATGAAATAGATGAAGCATCTCGTGCACATAGCCAGAAAGCTCTTCCCCAAACAGAGTTGACTATCCCTAAAACTCACCCCATGGCCCAATCAAAGGACAGCATTCAGACTGTTCCATTGAATGGTGGGGGTGATGCAAGCCATCTGTTGGAGGAGGAGGACTCTGATGAAATGCCTCTTCTAGAGGAAGATGAAGTGGAGATCAAACAGTAAGTTATTTATTGTTGTAGTACTTGACAAGTTCATGAATTTCATGACAATGAATTGTTATGATTCCCCTCCTGAAGGTGTTGCCATAGTTATTATGCTCTATGTCATACAAATGATCATTATGCTCTACAAGTTAACGGTAATATTAAGTTCTGGGAATGATGGAAAATTATAATTTCAAATGCCAATAATCATTCAAACCTTTAACTGAATGTCCAAGACTGCAAATGAATAATAAGTGCCAATGAATTCGGTAGAAAATGTATAAGAGCTGAGTAATCAGCATAAATAGATGAAGAAAGTGAGCTAATTTGTCTGCACCAATAATTGAGCAGTCTGTTGTCAATGACTGTGATTTTTGACCATTTTCATAGTTTTTATAATATTGTTTAGTATGCTTTTTATATTATTGTTAAATATATTTAATATTGTAAAGAAAGAGCATTCCCCATTGAGGAAATATTTGATGTTATCATAAATGAAAATGAAACATGCAAATAAATGTAAGCTCAAAAATGTAACCTTTTCCAGTGGTAAACTCTTATATCTTTGCACAATCCACAACTGATCTACATCTTCTTAGACCCCAGGTCACATGACATGTTTTCATTTGAAAGGACAGGGCATACTGCCTTATTACTGCTCACCATCCTTGTTCATGTAGAGCCAGCCCATCATGTCAGATTAGGTTTCTCAGATTATAAACCCGCTTCATGCATTTAATGTGTACATGTGGTAAAATTCATGTTAACCTGCCATCTACCTTTATAAGCAATGGACCTAGTAGAATGGCAACTTTCTCACTATCAAATTTATGTCACTACTTTGTCAAATGATTTTTCTTTCTTTTCTCAAACCAAGTTGGATTTATGTATACTATGTTTACTCTATTTGTTTTCTACTTTTCTTGAATAAATAAATGATATCAACAAATGTTCATGTATACTGTTGCCTTGTCAGTATACCTTAGCTTCTACCAGATGATGATCTTACCTTTTTTTAAATTTTTTATTAGATGTCATCCAAAGATATTATGGTCTCAGCATGCCAACTCGGTTCTTCTTAGTGTTCAGTTACAAGATGTCAAACACCCTATCGTCAACGTCACCACAAGCAGTATTTCTTTCAGGTAAATAGATGTTCCTTGCCTCTTGTCAATTGATTATTATATTGATACATGCATATCTGTCGTTTTATACTCTTTTGCTGGGGCATTCTCTCTCTCTCATTCTCTGTCTGTCTCTCTGTGTCTGTCTGTCTGTCTCTCTCTCTCTGTCTCTCTCTCTTTTATATATATATATATATATATATATATATATAAAGATCTGACATTTGGGAGACATTCCGGTGTTATTATACCTACTTATAGGAGACACCCAGATTAGGGAGACATTTTCGTGTCTCCTTTACGTTTCAACACCCCATACATGCAGTTTTACAAGGAACGGTGTCCAAAATGCTTCATGAATATTCATGTTAACATTGTAGCTCAATGTTCGCACCGTCCATTTGATACAAGGGTACATCAACTTAAAATAGAAACCCTTTCAAATATGGGGGTGTATACTCGGCGTTGATATAACAGTGCATTTGAGAGACACAAAGTTTATGGGATATATCTCGCTTTCTCAATCGTATATGTGTGGGATATTCATTTCTAAGATCAGATGTGATTCTAACAACGTAATAATGTGCATCTTGCTCATTATTTTTTTAAAGAAAAATATATATCCGTTATGGTGTGAAAAGCACCCTCTTTTTTAAGGTAGTTTATTCCAATGCGATATCGCGATCTTCGCACATGCGCAGTAATATATACATATATTTGCCGATAAAATTGTCTCCCTTGCACCGTATTATATAGCAAAAGGTGTCTCCTAACTACACCGCTACACAGCAGATCAAGATGTTACTAGGACCTCCACGAATGTAGCCCAGGCGTTGCCTGCCGCCCAAGCTTCCCGCGCCGGTACGGTACGGTATGCAGGCTATAGCAGCATGCAAGTCGGGACGGTTGTCTGAACTTCAGGTAGGCCTATAGGGTCTATATGTGGATATTTTATTCTTTTCTGTTAATCATATTCATAGACTACTTCTATTACCGTACTACTAGTCCTGCATCTGATATATGGGACTGAGACACTCATGAGAGTGGTAGCCAATTGACTTTAGAGTAGATCTAGAAAAGTCTAGACTATCCACTCCAGCAAAGCATAGAGAGTCGACCCTGTGTGATTCTCATACTAGATCTAGTACGTCTTGGGCCTTGGCTTGGCAAAAAAAAATTCTCCAATTTAGAGGTCTAACAGTTAGAATCTAGAAGTAGAAGAGTCTAGTACTACTACTAGTAAAATCTAGATCTAGTAGGGGTCTAGACTCTATATCTAGATCTAGCTGATCTAGACTCTACTAGATCTAGTACTAGACCCTACTACTAGTCTAGATAGATCTATCAAGTATCATCTAGACCTAGGTCTAGATCTAAGTTAGATCTACTACTAGATCTAGGCTAGTAGTAGTACCGCCTAGATCTATCCGGGGCGGGGGTGGGTAGAGTCTACTCAAATTATTTGTTGTTGGGGGTGTGCCGCAGTCAGGGGCGTCGCTAGACCTTTTTCAGTGGGGGGGGGGGGGGGGGGGGTGTAAGTTAGAGACCACCGATTACCGACAAAACTAGCCACCAATTACCGACAAAATGTAATAATGTCCCTGTGTCTACAAATTTAACCCTATCAATACTAGTATCAACCCGGGGCCGAAGGCTAAATTATTTTTTCTATGAACTAGATCTAGATCTAGATCTAGTCTATCTAGAATCTAGATCTATAGTAGATCTAGATCTACTTGCGTATGCGCAAATTGTCATTTTCCTTGACATAAATATAAGAATTATTTCGTTAACTTAGTCAGTATCATAGCTAGATCTAGACTATATATTTAAATGCAGGCGCGTAGATCTAGTTTGGATCCTATTTTAGGGGGAGGGGGTAGTGAGAAGCGAATCACTTAAAGAGCGCGCAAAGGGCCCTCCCGCGCGAAGCTTTGACGTTTCATTGAATTATGAGAGAAGCAGACGATTAGTTGTAGTGTTCTCGACTCTTAATCCTTATCTGACTTTATAGATTCCACCGTTCCGCGCGAAGCGCGGAAGCTTTGACGTTTCATTGAATTATTATAGAAAGCAGACGCTTCTGTGTAGTATTCTCGAATCTTAATCCTTAATTGTCTGAAATCGGTTTCCCCCAATCGCGCGAAGCGTGGAAGCTTTGACGTTTTATTAAATTATGAGAGAAAGAAGACGATTCGTTGTACTGCTCTCGACTCTAAACCCTTGTATGAATTCAGTTTCCCCCAATCGCGCGAAGCGCGGAAGCTCTGACGTTTCATTAAATTATGAGAGAAAGCGATTCTTGGTACTGTTCTCGTCTCTTAATCCTTATCTGAATGAAGATTCCACCATTCCACGCGAAGCGCGGAAAATTTCATGTTTCATTAAATTATTATAGAAAGCAGACGATTCAGTGTAGTATTCTTGACTCTTAATCCTTAATTGTCTGAATTCAGTTTCCCCCAATCGCGCGAAACGCAGAAGCTTTGACGTTTCCTTAAATTATTAGAAAAAGCAGACGATCTGTTCTACTGTTCTAGACTCTTAATCCTTGTCTGAATGAAGTTTCCCCCCTCCCGCGAAGCGCGGAAGCTTAGACGTTTCATTAAATTTGTAGTATTTATTATTAGACAATGAAGACAATTCGTTGTACCGTTTTCGATTCTTAATCAGCCCTAATTGTCCGCATCCAGATTTCCTCTATCGCGCTTCGCGCGAAAGCTTTGGAGTTTCATTAACATATTAAAGAAAAAGGACGATTCGTTGTACCGTTCTTGACTCCTAATCTTTGTCTGAATTCAGTTTACCCCCTCCCGCGCGGAAGTTTTGACGTTTTATTAAACTATTAGAGATAGAAGACGATTCGTCGTAACGTTCTCGACTCTTAATCCTTGTCTGAATGAAGATTCCACCCTTCCACGCAAAGCGTGGAAAATTTCACGTTTCATTAAATTATTATAGAAAGCAGACGATTCAGTGTAGTATTCTTGACTCTTAATCCTTAATTGTCTGAATTCAGTTTCCCCCAATCGCGCAAAGCGCGGAAGCTTTGACGTTTTATTAAACTATTAGAGATAGAAGACGATTCGTCGTAACGTTCTCGACTCTTAATCCTTGTCTGAATGAAGTTTCCCCCTCCCGCGCGTAGCGCGAAAGCTTTAGCGTTTCATTAACATATTAGAAAAAAAGGACGATTCGTTGTACCGTTCTTGACTCCTAATCCTTGTCTGAATTCAGTTTTTCCCCCGCCCGCGCTTGCGGAAGTTTTGACGTTTTCTTTTTGGCGTTTCATCACAATATAGAGAAAGTAGACGATTCGTCGTACCGTTCTCGACTCTTAATTCTTATCTAAATAATGTTCCGCGCGAAGCGCGAAAGCTTTGACGTTTCATTAACATTTTAGAGAAAAAGGACGATTCGTTGTACCGTTCTTGACTCTAATCCTTGGTTGAATTTAGTTTACCCGAAACTTTTAAACCTCTGATTTCTTTAGCTGATATTATAGGAAAGTCAAACTTCTAGAAAGTACAAGTATTATAGTTGTAGTCTCTCTCGATGTCGTCACAGTTAGTAGGGGGAAAAAAAATTGTCGGCCAACCGACATTATACATCTCGCCGACTTCAAATTCCTGCATTTATATAGTACCCGAGGATCAAGCAAGAATACCGACACGGCTGACCCGACACAGCAATTTATTTATGCGTGTCTTTCTTGCTCCCTCGACGAGACGACTCCACCCAACAACCCCCCCTCCCCCTCTCTCAGGCTCTTACCTCCCCTTGTTTCCTTTTTCTCTTTTTTTCTTCCTTTTCTCCTTTTCTTTCTTTTCTCTTTTCTTTTCTTTCCTCTCTTCCCTCTTTTTCTTTTTTCTCTTCTCTTTCCTTTCCTCTCCTTTTTTCCTTTCTTTTCCTTTCTTTCCTTTCTTTTCCTTTTCTTTCTTTCTTTTCTTTCCCTTTCCCTCTCTTTTTTCCCCTCCCCCTTTTCTTTGTTTTCCCGACGGCAGCGCAATTTCGCACCCCCCACACCCACCCCCCCCCCCCTTTGGCGACGCCCCTGGCCGCAGTCAGCTCAAATTAAGCTAGTAGGGTCTACTCAGCTAGTTTAGTAGAGTCTAGGGCTAATTGGCCCTCCCCTGAGTAAAGGATAGGGCTTAGCCTTGCTATAGCCTAGGGGGCAACAAGTTGAGTGAAAAATAGGATCTTGAGAACGGGTCATGGCAAGAGTTCCATATAGAGTCTAGTCCTAGTAGGCCTACTCCTAGATCTAGATCTCCCACCCCCCCCCCCCCCCCCCCCCCCCGCTGAAAAAAATTAACGACTGATAGAATCTACTTAGTTAGACTAGACCTATGTCTAGACTATGATAGAATTTTAAATTACTGGAAGTCCACCTGAGTCCGCGTTGCCCTAACCCTAACGCTAGGACAGAAATACTGGACGAAATAGCTTTAACATTAATGGATACAACATTAAATATTACATAACACATTGTGTTATTCTTCAAGTTCAACATCCAAAAAAATCAAATAAATTATTATCAAGTTCTTTTCTCATGTTTTAGTAGGGGGTATAAATATGGAACTCTTGTCTGGGTCAGAATTCGACCATCATGTCATGAATTGACCGCGCTTGTTGCGTGTGTACATGTATGTGTCTATGAGCGCCGCTCAGCGGCTATGTACAGCGCTCATGCATTGGCTGTTCTGGGCAAAAATCCGGCCCGCACTGTTCGGACGCCATATGGTTTGGGAACTGGGAGTTTGCCGCATAGCGGCAAGAGAGAAGGGGGAAATAATTTTGTAACCCTTGAGAGCGGCAACCGGCCCGGCCTGGCCGAGCGGCCCTCATTAAAAAATTGGCTCTGAAAAAGGGGGTCTTTGTAGCGGCACATACCCGTGTCACCAATATATGCGAGTACATTGGGATTTATCAATCGAATCATGTATTTTGGAGGTGGAAAACTTTCAATTGACGTCAAAGAATTTGAAATTAGGTATTACATAAAGGTAATAATTGAGTTCAAACCCATATAAATTATCATTTGTTCATTTTGGGGGATTTTGTATCATATAGTAATGGGTGACATTCATGGATTTTGAATGCCAATATGCCAGGCGCGGTAAAAAAAAAAAATGTTGCCAATTTGAATGAAATGTAAAAATCCATGTCAAAATTATTAATTGTCACTGTGTGTCAAAATAGAATAGTCAAAGTGGATGATTGATATGATCAGTCTTGCTTCGATATTTAATATAATATCTTGTGCATCTTTCTGGTCTTAGCGGTAATTTTGACATTGGAATCATTGCAAGGTCAAACTTTTTTGTTTTGCATTGTTGTGGGTCAACCTAGATACACGCACCCGCTATTGCTTGCACCTACATGTACAAAGCATGAAGCTTAATTCCTATTCACTGTCGAAGCCTATGTAACGACCCCGGTCCCGGCTTGTACATTTCGATAGCAACCGCTCAAACAAATGCTTAACGCAGGGCAATCAAGTGCTGTTGGATTATATGCGAATGTGTACTGTGCGCGTGCGTGGCCACGCACTGCGCATTCCAACTTCGACAGCGAATATAGAACCATATGTCAAAAAATGCTGATTACAACGATTTACCCTAGACCTCTATAACAAAACAAATTTCTGTTTATTTGTGTTGTTGGCATAGGGTTCTGCGTTGAACTGCTCGCGAAACACCCAACGATGAACATGCAGTATCTGCAGAAACTTTGCATGCTTTTTGGGTTGTCAAAATAATTTTCCTGATTTTTTCATTGGATTGTAGACCATGCAAGACTGGATCTATGACAATTCCATTGAGAAACAAAAATAAGACAGGGAAATTAAGTTCTAGAGGAAGCTTTGTAGGTGCACCGCTATCGCAAGAGATAGCGGGTGCGTGTATCTACATTGTAGGGTCAAACAGTCTTTTTTAACACAATTTTTCTGACACAATATGAAAAATATGTACATGTTTTTATTTTCCTGCAGCAACTACTTGCCCAAGAAGACGAGCGATGTGAGGAGTCGCGGTTGCAGGGCTAGGGCTTTTTTTTTCAAGCATCAAGATCAAGGAAAGAGTCACTGGTAAGTTTCACTGGGTATTCAAAATTTTGTATCCAAGACCAATTCGAGAGATCGACAAGAGCTGTAAGATATTCTCCGATAGCGGCGCTATATTACTTTGGTTGTGCTGCCTACTTCCAGGACAGGCACGAGTGAATAGCTTTCCTATTGAAATCAGCCAAAATCATGATGCGTCATTATAACGAACGGTTCTAAAACGCTATCGAAAAGTGATTTAAACATTGATTTAAATCAGTTTAAATAAGTGTTTTTGTGAGTATGGGGTTCCGTTGCGGATGAAATGATCAAATTAGCCGGCAAAAATTGAATTCTGTAGGATTTCGGCGTAAAAGACCGGAAGTAGGTAGCACAACCTGAAGCTGGACCCGCTGAGCCAACAGCGCACGTCAACCAATCAGAAACAAGCATTTAATTCATTTAATTTAACGCCCTCTAGCGGCCAAATAGTTATTGTCAATCCCCCAATTTCATCATTCCCAATTAGGCCACTTGTGGTGATGGTGACATACACTAAAATAGATAATGGACCCCTTTTTGGAACTTGATACTTCCCTTACTGGAATGTAATCCCTTCTTCCATAGCGGTGTAACCCTACTAAATTTGATGAATACCATCTGTAGTTTTTCCTATTAAATGCTGTTATAATTCTTGGTTTATATAGGCCTTGTCTTCATTTTCTATTTTTCTCTAACCCTTTTAGACATGCTGACCAGAAGAAGACATTGTGGTGTTGGAAAACCCAACCCCCTTGAGGTAGCAGCACAATACACAGAGAAAGAAAAGGACCCTCCTCACTTCATTGTCAAGCTGTTTGAGAACAAAGGTAAGCAACATCATTTTTTAATTCATAATTAAGTTTCATGGGGCTGCTACAAGTTTAGGTCGTATACTGTCCAACAATATTTGATTGATGTCACAGCAGAAACATAACTTAACAACATAATTTGCATATTTTGCACATTCATTTCAACTCAAGTTCTTTTGTTTTATGCCTCCGACATGAAGTGGTGCCGGAGGCATTCTGTTTTTAGGTTATCCGTCTGTCCGTCCATATTTCTTCTTACCACGATAACATAAAGGGATGTACATGTATACCTGGTGTTCTAGAAGGCGCTGTTCGATGGCATGTTGTGCGCCGCCAATTTTATCCCGAAGATTGACCAGGCATATTTACATACATCATTTTTTTACTGTTTGGAACATGGCATTGTGTAAACACCGGTATGATCGAATAACATATATTGGTGTCAATGGCAACTCACACCGTCTGTCCGAGTACACATTGTCAAGATATTCTGACAAAATTAATTGTACTGATCAAATTGGCACTGTGATTTTTGGAAACATATAAATTCCTGCCATTTCCATCTCAACATAAAAGAAATAGAATGGTGAATCTGGCATAAGAAAATCAGACACACTTCCTGGATACTTTTTGTAATCCTTACTTCCTCAAACTCTACAATGTACAGAACCTGCAAACCCAACTCTTGGAGGGTGTCCAAAATGAAAACAGTGAGAAACAAAACAAATTGAGTTGAGCTGGACATCCTTATTTACTACATATAGAGTATATAGGGACAATGTCTAGATGTGCGCCTGAAAGTAAATTGCACGAAATAAATTGCAAATCAATATTTTGTTGAAGATGACTTTCAGCTGTGACGTCAACAATCAACTATCGTTGTTTAGAGGTACCATAATGTTGGTGTAATGATGTCTTACTGTAATTTTTCTTACAGGAAGAGGGATAGTGGCACAAAGAGACATCTCAAAAGGGGAGTTTTTGTTGGAGTACCCAGGCCAACTTATATCTGCCCAAGAAGGCAACCAACGTGAGGAGGAGGAATCATCTGGTTTTCGTTTTTTTTTTAAGCATCAAGGACAAAGCTACTGGTAAGTTTGCACGTTTTATTCCTATTAGGAGATTATGAAACGGGCACTGTCCATCCGTATGTGTACTACCTATTACTTTTGGATGGTTCGTCCTATCATTACCAAATTTGAATGGTAGATGCATTAGCTAGGGAGGCCTATACATTTTAGTGTGGTCAAAGGTCACTCAGACTTTGTGTACAAAATGTTAAATTTGTACATAAGATGTTAAATCTACATATTACTTTTGGATGGTTCATCCCATCCTCACTAAAGCTGGATTTGGGGGTCATGCGGTCAAAGGTCATAGGGCAATAAATAGCTTGTGGTCGTGTTATCTCAAGAACCGATTGACGGATTCTCACCAAACTTGGCCCATGTATGTACCTTAAGGGGCCAATGATGAACTAATTCGATTTTTGGGTTATGAGGTCAAAGGTCACAGGGCTCATTATATATGCAATAAGAGCTTGTGATCACGTTATGTAATTGGGCTTAATATGTAAATCGCGCAATAGTGGAGGCATCATTTTCGACTGCGCGCAGTCGAACATCCATCTAGTTGAATGACATACAATATTGTACACTTTTCTTTGGAATACAGTCTTGATGCAACTGATGAGTGTGCTTTTGGGGATAGACTCGGCCGCCTCGTGAATCATGGACAAGGGAGGGAGGAGAACGCCCGAATGAAGATACTAGATATGAAGTCACATCCACACATGTGGATAATTGCTACAAAGAACATATCTAAAGGGACCGAAGTTCTGTACAATTATGGAGTTCGAGAACTGCCGTGGAAGAAAAAGGTAAAATTAATTTTGATAAATTTAGAGTATGATGGAAATTACAAGATTATTATCAGATGTGATAAAAGTCAAATTTTACCTTTTCATGTTTTTGCTTGTAACCCATGATAGACAAAGCAATACAAGTCATGTATGTGAGATTCAATTCTTTACCTCTGTACATTACCCATAATACTAAAAATTGCCCCATGTGATATAGCTAAACTGATTACATTTTGGACAAGTTTCTACTCATTATTTGGCTTTATTCATCTAATTTCTAATTATTTTTCCCCTCAGCATTTCAGAGGACAAGTTCAAAGGGAAGAAGAAGAAGGAGAGACACAAGTCCACCAACAGGAAAGAGGGACTCTAGGACAACAACAAGAAGGAGAGATGCAGGTTCACCAGCAAGAAGGACAGACACAAGGACATGAACAAGAAAGAGGGACTCTAGGGCACCAACAAGGAGAAGACATACATGTCCACCAACAAGGAGAGACAGAGGACCACCAACAAGAACGAGGAACACAAATCCACCAACAAGGAGGAGATACACATGTCCACCAACAAGAAGGAGAGACAGAGGGCCACCTACATGAAAGAGAGACTCTAGGACACCAACAAGGAGGAGAGATGGAGGTCCACCAACAAGAAGGAGAGACAGAGGGCCACCTACATGAAAGAGAGACTCTAGGACACCAACAAGGAGGAGAGATGGAGGTCCACCAACAAGAAGGAGAGACAGAGGGCCACCTACATGAAAGAGAGACTCTAGGACACCAACAAGGAGGAGAGATGGAGGTCCACCAACAAGAAGGAGAGACAGAGGGCCACCTACATGAAAGAGAGACTCTAGGACACCAACAAGGAGGAGAGATGGAGGTCCACCAACAAGAAGGAGAGACAGAGGGCCACCTACATGAAAGAGAGACTCTAGGACACCAACAAGGAGGAGAGATGGAGGTCCACCAACAAGAAGGAGAGACAGAGGGCCACCTACATGAAAGAGAGACTCTAGGACACCAACAAGGAGGAGAGATGGAGGTCCACCAACAAGAAGGAGAGACAGAGGGCCACCTACATGAAAGAGAGACTCTAGGACACCAACAAGGAGGAGAGATGGAGGTCCACCAACAAGAAGGAGAGACAGAGGGCCACCTACATGAAAGAGAGACTCTAGGACACCAACAAGGAGGAGAGATGGAGGTCCACCAACAAGAAGGAGAGACAGAGGGCCACCTACATGAAAGAGAGACTCTAGGACACCAACAAGAAGGAGAGATGGAGGTCCACCAACAAGAAGGAGAGACAGAGGGCCACCTACATGAAAGAGAGACTCTAGGACACCAACAAGAAGGAGAGATGGAGGTCCACCAACAAGAAGGAGAGACAGAGGGCCACCTACATGAAAGAGAGATTCTAGGACACCAACAAGAAGGAGAGATGGAGGTCCACCAACAAGAAGGAGAGACAGAGGGCCACCAGCAAGAAGGACAGACACAAGGACATGAACAAGAAAGAAGGACTCTAGGACACCAACAAGGAGAAGACATACATATATACCAACGAGGAAAGACACAGGTCCACCAACAAGAAGGAGAGACTCTAGGACACCAACAAGGAGGAGATACACATGTCCACCAAAAAGGAGTGACAGAGGACCACCAACAAGAAAGAGGAACACAAATCCATCAACAAGGAGAGACACAAGTCCACCAAAAAGGAGTGACAGAGGACCACCAACAAGAAAGAGGAACACAAATCCACCAACAAGGGGAGACACAAGTCCATCAACAAGAAAGAGAGACTCTAGGACACCAACAAGGAGGAGATACACATGTCCACCAACAAGGAGAGACACATGTCCACCAACAAGGAGGAGATACACATGTCCACCAGCAAGAAGGAGAGACAGAGGGCCACCAACATGAAAGAGAGACACAAGTCAACCAACAAGAGATAGGGACTCTAGGGCATCAACAAGAAAGAGGAACACAAATCCACCAGCACAGGGAGACACAACAAGAAAGAGGGACTCTAGGACACCAACAAGAAGGAGAGATGCAGATTAATCAGCAAGAAGGACAGACACAAGGACACGAACAAGAAAGAGGGACTATAGGACACCAACAAGGAGGAGACATACATTTCCACCAACAAGAAGGAGAGACACAGGTCCACCAACAAGAAAGAGGGACTCCAGGACTCCAACAAGGAGAGACACAAGGACACCAACCAGTCGAAGGAGAGTTCAAAGGATTAGAACAATCTGAGCATCCACAAAACTGTGTATCTCCATCAAGTTGTTCCTCAGATGAGGAAGAGCAGTACACACGCCCAAGAAGGTTCATCTACCCTAACCTATCTAAATCATCAAGTGAACTCCAAAATCATTTTGACAGTGATGAATCTGACCTTGATCCAACATATCGACCAGAGGAGGGTAGCAACGAGGAATACAGCAGTGATGATGAGGCAACTCTTGAGATTCATCCAAGAAATGTTCAAGTGCGCAAGAGACCATCTTCTGTTATATCTACACCAGATGAAAAACCTACAAAGATTTATAAACAGTGCCTTCCAGGATCATTTTCAGGGCCAGAATTGCCACATCAGAAAACCAATGATAATATGGAAACGACACACAAACACGAGGACAAGAAAACAAGGTACAAGAAGCCATCAAGGCCATGCCCTTTCTGCAACAAAGCTTGTGGTGAAAAGCTCTCGAGACACATTTGTTTGGTACATAAGGATAAGGAGCAGGTGAAATCTGCCATGCAGCTGCCAAAGCGGGAGAGAGACAAGGTGTTCTCAAAGTTCAGGAAGGAAGGCATATACCAAGTAAATAGAGAACGTATGAAAGATGACAACCCCATTTATGAAAGAGAAAAGTTACCAAAATCAGGGAATGATGACAACCTTAAAATGTGCAGTAACTGCAAGGGCTTTTACAGCTCACATTTCTTCTGGCATCACAGGAAAGTTTGCCAAGGTGATATATGCACTCCATCTGAAGGAGTACCAGTAAACCTCATGGAAGGGAAAGATCCAGTGTATCAAAAACACCCAGACTTTGTCACTGACATACTTAGTAGATTCCAGAATGATGACGTTGGGAATACGTGTAGAACGGACAAAGTGATAGTTAATGTTGGACATCGACTGTGGACTAAACACAGATCCAAAAAAGACAAGAAACTTGAAGTAAGAAAATCAGTTATGGCTGATATGAGAAGACTTGCCACCTTATACACTGAGTTTAAGAAGAAACACGAGGTTCATGGGACTGCAGATCTCACAATGGGACATGCTGGAGACATGTTCAGTAGAGAGCACTTCGAATCTTTGACAGAGGCAATCCAGACGCTCACTTATGATGAAACTGAAGGCAAACTAAAGCCAGGACTGAAACTCTGCTTGTACTTTGTGCTGAAAAAAGCTAGCAAAATCACTAAAGCTAGTTTTCTTGTATCCAGGCTAGATGAAGATGCATCTGAGATTGACAAGTTCGTAGAGATTCTTGACTTGAACCAGAATTTGATTTTTGGGGATGCACACTACGAAATCCAAAAGAATCGCCAAGTGCGTTTGAGGAAGCCTGCAGAGCTCCCGCTTGAGGCTGACATTGAAGCATTGAAGACATACACTCAAAAGAAAGTCACAGAAATCATCTCTGATGAGTTCCTGGTTTGGGATTCTCACACATTTGTAGAGTTACGAGATCTGACTTGCTCGCGATTGACATTGTGGAATGCAAGGCGTGGTGGAGAACCCAGCAGGCTTACAACCGAAGAATGGAGAGATGCAGAAGAGGGTGTATGGATGCAGAAAGACAAGATTCATGAAGTTAAAAATCCAGCCCATCAGGAACTTTTATCTCAGCTCAAGATATGCTACCAGACTGGGAAGGGCACTAATCGCTTGGTTCCAGTCCTGTTCCCAAGAGACACTGTGAAACCTGTGCAACTTCTATGTGATCAGGAAATCCGGCATACAGCAGGAATAAGACCTGATAATAAGTACATATTCGCTTGTACTCAAATGTCTCATGACCATGTTGGAGGGTGGCATGCTCTAAAGAATGTCTCAGACAACATCAGCCTTTCGTCCAACGTTACGGTGAATGCCACCAAGAACAGGCACAGAGTGTCTACAATTTACGCATCCCTCGACTTGCCTGATGCTGACTTGGAACTATTTTACCGGCATATGGGACACTCCTCTACAATCAATCAAACAATCTACCAGACCCCACTTGCCATCCAAGAAATCACCCGAGTAGGGAGTCATCTCCATCATATAGATATAGGAGGTAGGTAAACATTTATACAAATTTTGCATTGGTTCAATGTACCATATTATATGTACAGCAAATTTATGATTATCTCGAGTTCAGATTTATAACAGCGAGGCAGTAGTAATAGAAATAAGAGCTGATATAATTTTGAATTGGGATAGCATATAGGATAATAACATCGAGCAACAAAACAACCAGTAAATGATACACCCAATTGTACATTTATATGAAAACAATTGCAAAATATTGATGGAAAAAACTTGCACCATTTCATATTCCCAAATCTGAAGCAAACCTAACGCAGAAAACAAAAATGTTCATCAAGTGATATTTACTATTTATTTATTTCATAAACTCTTTGTGTTTGGTATATATTTATTTTGTATTTGTTTGATTGCACTATTACAAATTTGTTAATTTGTTTATGCTCTCTCTCTCTTATATTGACTGTTGTTATATCGTGTATGCAAATTATTGATGTTCGCATTTTATATGTCTTTCCCTTCCCATAGGAATGAGGGCACGCAAAGAATCTGAAGCGTCTGATGACGATGGCTGCTCAAGTGCACCAGCGACCTCAAAGGATGGCTGCTCTACAGCACGGGTGAACTCTAAACATGACGACTCAACTCTAACGGTGACCTCTGAGGATGGCAGCTCAACTACACCAGCGACCTCAAAGGATGGCTGCTCTACAGCACGGTGAACTCTAAACATGACGACTCAACTCTAACGGTGACCTCTGAGGATGGCAGCTCAACTACACCAGCGACCTCAAAGGATGGCTGCTCTACAGCACGGGTGAACTCTGAGCATGGCAACTCAACTCTAACAGTGACCTCTGAGGATGGCAGCTCAACTACACCAGCGACCTCAAAGGATGGCTGCTCTACTGCAACATTGACCTCTGGGGATAGGTCTTCAGGTAATATGAAAGCGAAGTGTTTTTTTTTTTGCACATTGTTGCTTTGATATTAAACAGGGAGTTGTTCCCATTAACTCTGCAGTTCAACTATCACATGTGCTGAATTCATAGTTGTATTGTATTGTTGAGAATCATAGGCATGAGTTCAAAACTTGGTTCTTGTAGAATGAATCAGTTCATAAAGGTTTCAGCATATGATACAATGGAGATTCATGAAGAAAAAAAAAAGTAGTAGATTCATGCATTTATATGACAAATATTGGTGTAAAACTAATTGGATCTGCTCAGGAACGCAACACTGTATGGGAAAAGTTTATAGCTGACCATAATGAGAAGTTTTC